CTAAAGAAAAAAATATTGAATTATTTCCCTCTAGATGGTGGCGCTAGTGGTAAAGAACCCACCTGCTGATGCAGGGGACTTAAGAGACATTGGTTCAATCCCTGAGTCGGGAAGATCCCCTGGAGAAGGAAATACAAACCCACTCCAATATTCTTGCCTGGAGAATCTCATGGACAGAGGAACCTGGTGGGCTACACTCTATAGAGTTGCAAAGAGCTGGACACAACTGAAGCGACTTAGCACCACATGGCACATGTTGTTTTAGAATATTTCTACTGGCCTTCTTGACCCAATGTATTTTTTTAAAAAACAAAAACTAACCATTACAAATTTAATATCTTCTTTGGTAATGCAGCCTGTGAGTATCTGATCTGCCTACACAATTTGTCAAAGGTGCCAATAAATTAGAAATCCCTATGATTTTACATGGCATTAAAAAAAACATAGATTCCATTTTTAAGTACAAGGAAACAGTTCATTTCTTATCTCTATATCTAGAGCTGAGTACAGGCATGTCATATAATAGATGCTCATATGACTGGCTAATACTTTGTTATCAACTTTAATAGAAATACGAACACTATACAGGATTTGAGGAACTGAAAGTTTTATAAGGCACACTGGCCCTCCAGGAACTAACATCTGCTCACTCACTTTGTGCAAGCCTATGTCTCCAAGTACTCTTTTAGGTTCTAGAAATAAATATATAAAAGTTGACTTTTAGGGCACAGGAAACCTCTGAAAAGGTTCTTTGTTGTTTTGCTGTTATTATTTTTTAATGCAGGTGAAATGCAGATAACATAAAACTAACCATATTGAAGAATAAATGGTATTCAACACAGTTACAAATTCATACAGCCACCACTTCTGTCTAGTTCCAGAACATTTTCATCACACCTGAAGAAGATCCCATGCCTAATTTGCTGTTTCTATGAATTTATACATTCTGGATATTACAGTAAATTGAATCATGCAACATATGACCTTTTGTATCTATTTTCTTTCTTTAACATGTTTCTGAGATTCATCCACACTGTCAGGTTAATCAATACTTTTTTCCCCTTAACAGCTGAAAAATATTCCATTACATAGATATACTACCTGTTTACTTATTTGATTGCCATGTGGGCTGTTTCCACCTTTTTGGCTGTTGTGAATAGTGTGCGATTTTGAATATTCCTGTACAAAAGTATTTGTTGAGTATCTGTTTTCAGTTCTTTCGGGTATATAACTAAGAGTGGAATTGCTGAGTCACATGGTAATTCTTTAACTGAGGAACCACAAAACTGTTTTCCATGGCAGCTGCATTATTTTACATTCCCCCACCCTGACCCCCTGCCAAAAATAAAACACCACAAGGGTTTCAATTCCTGCCCATCCTTGCCAAACTTGCTTTCTGGTTTCTGATTCTATCATAGTGGCCATAAAGTTGGGATCTAACTATGGTTTTGATTTCCATTTTCCTAATGACGCTCAGTGTAATTTCGTGTGTTTGCTGGACATTTGTGTGTCTTCTCAGGAGAAATGGTGGTTCAAGTCCTTTGCTCATATTTTAATTAGGTTTTTTGGCATTTTGTTTTCAACCTGTAAGAATTCTTTGTATATTCTGGCTACTAGACCCTAATGAGATGTGATTTGCAAATATTTTCTCCCATTCTGTAATTTTTTTCCTTTTATGAAAGTATTCTTTGTACGAAAATCTTTTTAAAAAAAATTTCTGATGAAGTCCAAATTGCATTTTTCCCCCTGTTGTTGTTGTTTTTGGTGTCATATCTAAAAATACATTGCCAAATCCAATGTCATGAATCTTTATTCTTATATTTTTTTCCTATAAGTTTTGTAGTGTTAGCTCTTACTTAACAGGTTTTTGATCCATTTAATTTTTATATATGGTGTAAGGTAAGGGTGTCCCATTTTTCCATGTGGCTATCCAGTTCTCCCAAAACCACTGGTTGAAAAGACTATTATTTCTCTATCAAACAGTCTAGGCACCACTGATGAAACTCAACTGGACTACAGATGAACAGGTTTATTGCTAGACTCTCAAATCTATTTCATTGGTCTGTATGTCTGTCCGTATGTAGGTACCACATTATTTTAATTTAGCTTTGTATTAGTATGAAATTGGGAATTGTGAGTCCTCTGACTTTATTATTTTTTTTTCAAGATTGTTTTGCAATGTTGGATTCTTTCCATTTTCATGTGTTTTTCAGGGCTGGCCTTTTCATTTCTGCAGAAAGGACTTGGGATTTTGATAGGGACTGCATTAAATCTGTAGATTGTTGCCATTCAACAATAATAAGTCTTAGAATCAGAGGGGATGACCATGGGATGTCTTTCTAGTGTTCTTTCAACAGTATTTTGTAATTTTTAGTTTTCAGATCTTTCAACTCTGGTTTTAGAAATTTTAGTCTCTATTACTTAGTCTAACAAATGGCTTATCAATTTTCTTGATCTTTTCAAAGAATCAACTTTTGGTTTGATTTTGTTTTTCTCTTCTTTCAAAAAAATCTAAAATATCTATTGTTTCCTTCCTTCTCATAGTTTTGGGCATATTTACTCATTTTCTAGTTTTTTAAAGTTGGGTTATGAACTTGAGATCTTTCACTTCTTAAATATATATATGTGTGTGTGTGTGTGTGTGTGTGTGTGTATAAATGTACAGTTATAAATTTCTGAGCACTGCTTGGAATATGCTGCATTTTCATTTGCCTCATAGTATCTTCTAATTTCTCTTGTGATTTTTCTTCTTTGACCCATTGGTTATTTAAGAATGTATTGTCACTGGAGATTTTTACATAAATGGTATGATTTATGAATTAGCAAGAATATATTGGCTGCTAAGTAAATAAGAGGCTATAAATTACAAGGCAAGTATGAATGCTGGGAAGCTATTTAGGAGGCTGTTGAAATTGTCCATATGAGAAATGATGCTGAGACTGTCAAAGGTAGTGACAGTGGAATTGACAAAGTATTTATATTTGTAGAACATGTTTTAGTAGTAAAATCTACAGGACTTGTTGATCAATTAACCAGCCAAAGAAAAAGAGGCAATCAGGAATTACTCCTAGGTTTTGGCTTGTCTAGTTGAGTGGATAAAAGTGACATTTACTGAGATAGAAGAACAGGTTTATCTTTTCTCCCCCCTTTGGTGGTGAGAGAGAATGCTGAGAAATCAAGAGTTGGAGAATTGAGATGTTTATTAAAACTGTCAGTAAAGCAGTATATGATGTTGTTTAGCTGCTTAGTCATGTCTGACTCTTTGAGACACTATGGACTGCAGCCCACCAGGCTCCTCTGTCCGTGGAATTTTTAGGCAAGAATACTGGAATGAGTTGCCATTTCCTCCTCCAGGAGATCTTCCTGATCCAGGGATTGAACTCACATCTCCTGCATTAGCAGGCAGATTCTTTACCACTGAACCACCACGTAAGCCCTAAAGCAATGTATATAACACATTAATGTCCAAAGTAAAGGTCAGAATGTTTCTACATTTGGAAGTTATTAATATAGAAATGGTTATTACTTGGTACCAGATGAAAACACCTAAGGAGATTTAGACTGAAGAAAAGAATATGGAGCTCATTCCTAGTCTTAAGATGTAAAAGGGAAGTTAGGAATAAGACAAGAAAAGAGTGGAAAATCTGTGTCAGCCAAGGGTTTTTAACTACGGAATGGCACTGAGAAGCTAAGAAGACAGAGGTGAGGTTTGGTAAAATTACTGGTGATTTTGATAAAAGCTGTTTCAGTGAAATTATAGGGACAGAAGCTGGAGTCTATGAGGGGCAGTAAGGAGCAAGTAAGAAGTATGAATTGAGATAGTAACTAGAGAAAACTCTCTTGCTACGCTCTGTGTAAAGCTAGGTTAAGAATTACATACGAAGGGCAGCATTTAAAAAGGAACTTGATGTTAGTCATTTTTTTAATGTTTTTAAAAAATAAGTGTGGGCTATACACACCAATAGGGAGAAGTCAAAGACAACAGGATTCAGAGTACCTCCAGGGGATTAGACTGTCCGGAAATAATGAGGCTTATCTGCTGTTGAAACATGTGAGAAATCAGAAATGCCAGTATTGATGCAGGTAACATATTAGATTTTAGGGAGAAGAGATGAGGAAAGTATGAGGTAAGGCCATACCCTAAAAGGTAAAGAATTAAGGAAAGAGGTACTGATATACAATAATGCTCTGGAAATGTGGTAAAGGCAATTAAACAGGGCAGGATAAGGACTGCTGAGCAATGCAATATAGTCATTTGAAATATGTGGTCATAAATTTAAACCTTAATTATATTTGTTTTTCTCAAGTGATGTTCAGGTTGTGGAATGAAGGGTATGAACTAGTGGATAAAAAGCTGAGCAAAGGTGAGAGGGTGAGAGTACTGTCTAGGACTAAGGACTCTAAAATCGGTAAGGCAAGAAGGAAGGACAAGAGGGTTAACAAGCATAGCAAAGAGTAGTGGAGTGAACAGCCTGGTACTACTCTAGAAAGCAGGGTGAGATGATTCACATCTGAAGTGAGATTCAGGGCACAACTATTGATAATGACAAGGTCAAAGCAGAATGGTTTAAAGAGCTGGGAGAAAGCAGGCACCTGGGTTGGATTACACATATAACACAGTATGGGAATCAGCATGGCATGGGTTTAGCGGTCTTGGAAGTCTGGCCAAGGAGGGGAGATATAAAAGGATGTGTGTCATAATGGATTAATTTTGAAGTCTCATGGGGGAACACAGAGTTACAACTCCTGAGTTGTTTTAATATTATAGCAGACTTGTCATTGTTTCCTGAAGTAGAATTTCTGCTACGCTATCAATAAATCTTAGCTGATGCTAACAGTGGAATAAAGCTATGATGTGAAAGGTTTTTTGCTTATCTAGACTAAGAAGCCACTTTTACCACTGTACTTAAATACTGGTAAGGTGAGATGGTGTGATGGTATACTTCAAATGTCTGACTGGTAGATATTCAAACAAAATGATTTATAGAATAACTATAATATCCAAGTGACAGCATTTATTTCAACTTTATTACACAAACTAAATGTGTATTCATTTTCATATATTAATCTAGCAAAATATTACAGTGAACCCTAGGGCTTAAAAAGTACTTGTCCAAACAGCCAAGGTTATTAGTATGTCTACCTAGAATTAAAATGGTAACTCTGTTAGGCTATTTAGTGCCTTCTAATACAATGGAGCCATAGCTGAATAAATACATTCTCCAACAGTGTGCTGAAAGTACTGCTTTACTCTCAGGTAAGCATTTTAAATCAGACTTCTTCCCCTTCTATGCATCACTGAATTTTATTATTTGAATCATGTTCTGAACTAGTAAATTTTAACAATACTTTATATATTTAGTTAAAACTGTTTGTGTTTAAAATATATTTTATATGATAAATTTTAATAACTAGTTTCATGAGTATAGTTAACTGGTAATATTTATCTCATGCAAATATTACTATAAAAGTAAGCCAATTCCTTCTACTGATTGGTTTCCCAAAGCTTTCTGAAAAAAGTATTGCACAGACAAAAGGCTTAGGAGCTCAGTCATGTTATGGTGATTACAGGTTCTTTCTTATCCAGCAGAGGACAGACTGTTCTTTGAATTTAGAGGGTTCTACAGAGGTACTCTTGCCTGGGTAACATGTCTTTTCTTTATAGAGCTACTCTGGCATTTCCTAAGCTAAACAGGAATAATTGGATAAAACTTGTTGAAAACAACTAGACATCAAACACAGTTTCTCTCATGAGCCATGAATAATGATCTCAGTCCTCTGCGTACAGTGAGAAGCTCCTCTTCTTGCTGTGGCCAAGAAAAAAAAAATCACTTTGGACAGTGATTCACTATAAAATTATCATCCTATCCAATCCCCTAAGGCCTGTTCCTAGGTATCTACAGAATTATATGCTTATTACTGATATTTTAGATATATATTTAGGTAATCAACTGAGATCACTTTTAAACCCCAAACCAATGAAATTTTTTACTTCCTTTAAATATTAAATCCACAGTCTAGAAAAGATCTTCAACAAGGATCAATCTAGTTAGTTAGCTTACGTGCTTCCAACTAAACTGGCTTAGTTAACAACTATCGTCTTAGCCTCCACTATCAGCATACTGAGGTTCTATTAAAATTTAATCAAAGTATATTAAAATATCCTGTAGTATACACAGAAATGCCTCTACCTCTGAGGAAACACCAAAGCATGTTTACCTGGACAGCACCTTTAGACACCTTCCCTGTTCCCCACCCTGGTGAGCTCTTCCCCCAGAATCCAGTTGCTGGTCTACTAGACCTCTGCAAAATCAGCTAATTTTATCCTCAAATCTAAGTAAATGAAAATTCTTTATTGCTCTGCCTGACACACCTTCTCCTTCAGAAGACACAGCAAGACTGCTGTGGTGCACCTTGCTTAGATACATACAAAGAAATAATTATTCTAGCTTACTTTTAAATTGCTCTTTCTTTTAAGGAGACACTCATTATTTAAAATCACCCCTATTTTCTACTATAAATTTGCTCCCATTTTAAAGAACTAAAAGAACCCCAGTGGTTTCAATCCAAAAAGAAAAACCTGTGGAAGAATTTCTCATTTAAACATATAAAAGCATGACTGATCATTCCATTAAAAAAACTCAAACTAGATATTGATTTACCATTTCCTTAAGAAGTCTGTCTTGCAGCATTTTCATGTTTTCTTTCATCAAACACATCTGTGAATAAATAATTTCTCCCATGAAATTTATTACAAAGTTTCACAACAAAAAGTTGGACTAACCAATATTGAGAAGTTACATACAAAAATATAGAATTTATACCTGAGATGTAATAATATTTTCTTCACAATCAGTGCTGTAGAAGACATTCTTGTCCAATGAAGCTTTTAAAAGGTGAAATCTAGAATAATGAACAGTTACCTTTGCATTTACTTTGGTATTTAACAAATTAAATTACTACAATATAGTATATATAATTTAAATTTTTTGACCAAAAAGTCTTGTTATGTATTCTTATCATTAAGAATGTCATACTGACCTCTGCTGTTCACTTTTTTGATAGGCACTGAACTGCTGAAATACCTTTTCCCGAAAGTCCTAAAAGTACAAAACCAGTTATACTGTAGTTATGACTAAAAATTAAAACTAAACAGTAGAATTTACTATATTTATTTCTAATTTAAAAAACAACATGAAAAGAAAAAAAAACAACCTGGCTATATGCTAAGAATAAACATTGCAGATGTCATATACTCTTTCAGATAAAAAAACTGAAAGCAAACTCTTTCAGACTTTCTCCCTGTAAGAGGTAATCATAAACTTTATGTATTTACTGAAGTACAGTTGATTTACAATGTTTCAGATATATATATATAGCAAAGTGATTTACTTATACATGCATACATGTATTTTTTCAGATTCTTTTCCATTATAAGTTATTTCAAGATAATGAATATACTTGGCTGTATAGGTCCTTGTTATTTTACCATTTTATGTATAGTAGTATGTATGTTAATATCCCTTGATAAACTTAACTCTGTATTTTTAGTGTATGTACATGAAACTAACTAAAAATCAAGGATAAAACTAAATTATGTCCTAAAAAAGTAGAAGGTTAATAGAAGTTTTCCTGAGTGCAGCTCTTTAAAAATGAGGTTTACAATTATCTTTAAACTCTTATAAGCACAAACCACAAATTCCTTCTCCAAATCTTTTAAATATTGTGAGTCTTTTTCAAAATTCTGTAGCTCCTCCATGATGATGAATTGGAATTTGTCAAGTTTTTTGATCCTATTAAAGAAAGAAAATGAGATTTTTTAAAAAAATGATAGCACTCAGAATACAAAGCACTTAGGATATTTTAGAAGGGATTTTTAGCACCTGTACTCCTGAATCTTCTGGTTGATTGCTTTTATATGTTGTTGAAATGTTTTCCAAGTCTGTTTAGTAAAATAATCCATCATTTTGTGGCGGATCTGAAAAACACTCATTTTTTAACTTGAAAAATCTTTACTAAATAATCTAACCAAGACTATATTAGGACCAAAGCCTTTTCCATGAAATATAAATGACTAAGAACAGTGAAAAATTAAAAACTCAAGTGATTTAAACTGAAGTGTTAATGAATAAGCTCAGTCCCACCAGGAAGGCTCTGACTGAGGGTTGGAATTGCTAGTTATCTTCATAAGTACATCACATTTACCAAAATTCTAGTGATTATAATTCTTTTCAGGAACACAGCCCAGGAGTCACACTCAAAATTACTACCATTTTTCATAAAATATATCCACATCTAGTCACAGATATGCAAAATGTATGAATCAGGGCATCTCTGTTTAGATGATGATAACCTTGGATAAATCAGCTCAAGAGAAATCTACAGAATCTTAAATAATTTCAGAGTTTACCCATGAAGAAAAGAAAAAGGCAAAGAAAGAGAGCTGATAACCTGTTCAGGAAAATGTCTTAACAGGAGGGCAAAAAGAACTGTCTAAATACAGGCATGTGAGAAAAAGAGATGAGGGGAGAAAACAACAGTAATTTAGAATTACTGTATTTTAGAAGTATTTTTGCAAATATCACCTCACTGGAACCACAATAACTAAGGAGCTTAAGTACAGAACTGGAGAAACAAAATGAAATGGGTTTCTGACTGAGGCTGTTCATCCTCTATACTTTGTATAATACCCTTACAAGCAGTTACTGCTGTGAGATTTAAAAAAAAATATATTAAAGACTAGGCACAAAAAGAAAATTGTTCAGAAAAAAGAAAAATCACAAAAAACTCAAAATGTTAAACTGAAAAGGAAAATAGGACAAAGAGAACCCATAGGTAAAGAATATGGGTAATATAAAGTTTTAGAAAAGAAACTTGGCTCATGAATCATTCCAGCTTTTTACCAGTGCATGAGGAAAGCTGAGTTCATGAATGGGTGTTTTGTTGCCAAAGGGTTAACTGAACTGACAGTCTAGTAGAAAATGTGACATATTATCATAATTTAAAGGATGACAACTCACATTAACTTTCCTCTGAAATTCTGTATTGAGCTGCTCGCACACCATCATCCCTACATCTGAAATTTCAGTTTCCCAGTTCTCCAAAGGAATAGAAAAGTCATTTGCTGATAATGGAGATATACTTTTGGACACTAAGAAAATGAAGACAATCAGCTAAAATTAAGATAATGCATTGTTACAAATTTTACCTTCTTTGTCATGAGACTAAGAACAATGTCTTATTTTCAGATTCCATATGTAATCTAAGGATTATAAACCATAGGCATATTTTTCATTTAAAATTATTCTGACTTATAAAAAACCTTCTAGCATGGGAATTAAGGCAGAAACAGTAACATTAAAATGGAACATATTTGGATTCATTTTTTAAAAAACTAGTTCTTTACTACTTGCACAGTAATAACCCAGCTATTTAATGATATGCTAATCTATCAGTAAGTTAATACTGTAGTAAAGCCTGTATATGGTAATTAGTGATGAGGAAGATTTATGAGTAAAGTCTACTATAACAGTAGAATAAAGTGAACTTTGTAATAAAGCATCCTCCTTTTTGGATTTATCCAAAGTTATCTTTACAAAGGAATTTGTTTTATGAAAGAAGTCACTCAAAATTGAAGAAACCACTTTCCAAATTAATTGCATTTTGACATAGGCATCTAATCTACCTACCTTTGTAGGTGTGATGATCTGCATCTTCGCTTTTACAGAGTTTTTTGGGAAGAAAGTCTGCTCTTTCTTCTTCCAGTTCACCAGAATAATTTAGGCTGTCTTCCGTGTACATTCGTTTGCAACTAAGATGTTGTATACAGCCTTAGGAACAGTAAATAATAGTGCTAACAATCTTAATTAAAAATACCTAATATATTATTGCTTTTATTTTAAAAAAGCCTTTGTTTCCATTTATATAGTTTTAGACAACTGCATTAAATCCTATATAATTTCGACATTAAATTGAATAATGGTACAATTATAAAAATTTCTTTAGGTGAAATTTCACAGTAGTATTTCAGTAATTAATATGCATTTTTTAAAAAGCAAGTCTTTGACCACAAACCTGATACACGAGTGGAGTCACCGGGCATGCCATACCATGCTCTCTCTCTCTCTTCACTAGACGTGGACAATGGAGATGCTGAATGACTTTTCTAAGACAGTTATCAGAAATTGGAAAAATATTCTGTGTAAGTACTCCTGGATTCACCTTTGACCCTCTCTCTCAACCTCTACAGACAATAAGTTACAAATGCTATCAATTTGTTTTTTTTCTTCATATTGTTTCCATCCCTTTTGATCTCTTACACTGCTATGCATTTTCCTAAATTTTTATGTTAACCTCAATCTTAAATTACAGCAATAGTTTTGAGCTGCTTTTTTAAACTAATCCTATTTTTCAGTTCTTCCTTATTAGAAGTTTGATTTCTTTGAGTCAGGAAATGGGAGGCCAAAGAAAAGTCTAAAGTACTTCCTTCAAGTTATATCTTTAAGCCCCATCTTTGTCCTCTAACCTTATGTCTTACTGATTCAAATACAAATGTGTTAGCCAAATTAGTCTTTTTCTTGTTTTATGAAAATCTGTGTCCATTTCCAGTTCCCCTTCTATACTTAAGTTAATGATGTTTCTCTACTCAGTCTATATATACCAATCTGTCCTAAGTAGAGGCTGGTATAGCCCAAAACCTAGCCCACTCCAAGCTATAATTCTGTCTTAACATTCTGTATTTTATAATTATTAAATATTAATATTTTTTGTTGACTTTTATAGTAGAAAAACTCAACCAAATTCCTATATAATCATGAAACCACTAAGTCCTAATTATAAATATGTAAGTCAGTGGTTTAAAGTGATAAGCCTATTTAAGGCTTTCTCATTGTAAGTATTTCAACTTTTTTTCTATGATCAAACCATCCTACGTATTTTAAACACCACACTTTCAGATAATAACAGGTGAAAAATACTAAATTACTATAACTATACTAATGGCCTGTAATCTGATTCTTATTAAGAACTATCTTAGTTTAAGGAAAGCTTACTGGCTGTACTACCATATGACTTTCATATATGGGGGTTCAATTTCCATAAATTTTTCCTGAAGTATAACTGTTTACATCTGAGTAGGTGTTGCAGTTTGGGCTTCCCCGGTGGCTCAGATGGTAAAGAATCTGCCTGCAATGCAGGAGATCTGGGCTCGATCCCTACATTGGGAAGATCCCCTGGGGGAAGGCATGGCAACCCACTACAGTTCATGGGGCTGAAGAGTTGGACAAGAGTGCGGAACCAAGCACAGTGTATGTACATTCTTCCCTCAGTATCTGCAGGGCAGAGGAGGGGCTGGTTCCAGGACCCCTTGCAAATACCAAAATCCACTGATGCTCATGTCCCACATGTGAAGTACTGATTCACAGTTGGTTGAATCCATGGTTGGCTGACAAAATGTGGACCTATAGATATGGAGGGTCAACTGTACCACAACTGTATTACTTCTATTCACAACAATATTATACTTTACTATGAATGAACAGGACATACAGAAACCCAAAGGAAGTTAGAAAACTAAAGTAAGAAAAATACAGATATTAAACTAAAATTATTAAATTCTGAGGGAATAACTAGTTCACTGCTAAAACTCAACACCCATTCATAAGTGAAAAAAGACATTTAAACAATTAGAACATTAATTTGATAACAAGTATCTACTAAAAACTATTGATAACCATACATACCACTATGATATCTATTTAACATTGCTCCACATGTCATAGTCACCTTGAAATGACCATGTATATAAGGATTGGAAGACGAAATGCAAAAATTACCATAAAACACTCTGATTACCTATTTTCAAAATTCAAGAGAATCTAAGCAGGTAATTATGATAGCATTTGCCAAGGATGTGGGAGATATAAAAATCAAGTGTTTCTATACAAAAGCAAAAAGTTAAAAACACAGAAAACAATTTAAGTTTTTTTCTTTAATACAGTAAAGTAAAAAGCCCATAAAGCACTGCAGAAGTACAACTTTCTTTGTGGAAGATTTTGCACAACTTTCTTGGAAATAAGACCAAAATGTAGACAGAAAAATGAAATATATGGATAAGAAATCTCAATATTGGTAAAAAGCAATTCTTCCCTTAAACTAATTCTAAACTACATAGGCCAAGTATAGGGCTTATAATTTGGAAGTACATTATAATTTGGAAGTATAATAAGAGGAGGGTTAAGGTGGGGGTGGTGAAACCACTGTATGCATAAAACTATTAATATACAAACTGAAGTAATGCTATGTTAGCATAGAGACAGAGAGGTACTATCCTATATTTTACTGGGCAAACAGCTGACCTATAATCTTGCCAAGGCAGTGACCCAAGTGTCATCGCAGATGATGGAGAAAGGAGGGGTTATCCAATGTATGACGTTGCACTAACTCACTATCCATATGCAAAAAGAGGACGCCTAGAAAAATGGAAAACCTCAAATTTAGAACTAACATTTGAGAGAAAATATTTTTATGACAATAACTGAGGGAAGGATTTCTTGAACAAAAGATTGGTAAATTTCATATTTTGATTTAATTAAGTGAAAAGACAAGCTACATTCTAGAAAAAGAATGTTTGCACTGGATATAACCAATAATTAATATCCAACATATAGTCTATAGAATGCCTCCAAATTTATAGGAAAAATCAAACAATATAATTTTAAAAATTAAAAAAATAGGCAATTTACAAAATGGCCAAAAAATATGAAAATACTCACTGATGCTGTTAATCTGAAAAATGCAAATTAAAGTCAGACACATTTTAAATTCATCAGACTGCCAAAAAAGAAAAAAACTAAAAACAGTAGAAAAATGGGCAATATCACATAGCATTGTTGGAGAGTGTAAGCTGGTACGACAAATTCACATAGCAAATTTCCAATACCTAATGAAGAGTCCGGTTTCCCTTGTGGCTCAGCTGGTAAAGAATCTGCCTGCAATGTGGGAGACCTGGATTCAGTCCCTGGCTTGGGAAGATCTCCTGGAGAAGGGAAAGGCTACCGACTTCAGTATTCTGGCCTGGAGAATTCCATGGACTCTATATAGTCCATGGGGTTCAAAGACTTGTCCATGACTGAGAGACTTAGAATGAAGAGTCAATAGTAAATTGGAAACACAGTGGCTCCTGTAAATGTCCAGCCAATAAATATGTAACAAAATTTCATCTAGCAAACAGCATCAAAGTAGGTGAGTGGGGATGACCTAGGTGCTGAGATTTGCAAGATGGGATACTAATGGGAGAAAGGATTCAGGGAAAGGAAGAATGATGAAGCAATACCAAGAAAGGACCATGGGATGACTGTCTAATCACAAATGGTTTTAAACTGTGGTCTGTAGAAATTAAGAGTCTTGCAAAGATGCCTTTGGGGGATTATCAGAGAAGGAAGGTATGTAGGTCAGGGTTCAGACCTATCTGCTTTAAACAATGTAGCTGCATTTTTACATTTGGCACACTGAAAGTTTCATATAAAATTTTGTTTGAAAAATATGCTTTGTGAAAACTACTGGTTAAACAGAATAAAAGGTTCATAAAACACTGTAGGAGTAAAAACAGTTCACTAACAATGAAAAATCAGAAAAAGAAATTAAGGAATCAATCTCATTCACCACTGCAACAAAAAGAATAATAAACCTACCTAAGGAGACAAAAGAACTGTATACAGAAAATTATAAGACACTGATGAAAGAAATAAAAAATGACATAAACAGATGGAGAGATATATTCCATGTTCCTGGGTAGGAAGAATCAATATTGTGAAAATGACTATACTACCAAATGCAATCTACAGATTCAATGAACTCACTATCAAATTACCAATGGCATTTTTCACAGAACTAGAACAAAAAATTTCACAATTCATATGGAAACACAAAAACAGTGAATAGCCAAAGGGGTTTTAAGAAGAATGGAGCTGGAGGAATCAACCTTCCTGACTTCAGATTATACTGCATAGCAACAGTCATCAAGACAGTATGGAACTGGCACAAAAACAGAAATATAAACCAATGGAACAAGAAAGCAAGCCCAGAAATAAACCCACACACATATGGGTACCTTATTTTTGACAAAGGAGCCAAGAATATACAATGGGGCAAAGACAGCCTCCAGTAAGTGGTGCTGGGAAAACTGGACAGTTACATGTAAAAGAGTGAAATTAGAACATTTCCTAACACCATACACAAAGACAAACTCAAAATGGATTAAAGACCTAAATGTAAGACCAGAAACTCTAACACTCCTAGAGGAAAACATAGGCAGAACACTTGATGACATAAACAAGATCCTCTATAACCTACCTCCTAGAGTAATGGAAATAAAACCAAAAGTAAACAAGTGGACCTAATTAAAAGTTTTTGCACAGCAAAGCAAACTATAAACAAGGTGAAAAGACAACCCCCAGAATGGGAGAATATAATAGCAAGTGAAACAACTGACAAAGGATTTATTTCCAAAATATACACACAGCTCATACAACTCAATACTAGAAAAACAACCCAAATAGAAAGTGGAAAAAAGACCTAAACAGACATTTCTCCAAAGAAGACATACAGATGGCTAACAAACACATGAAAACATGCTCAACATCCTCATTATTAGAGAAATGCAAATCAAAACTACAATAAGAGATCATTTCACACCAGTCAGAATGGCCATCAAAAATCTTACAAACATGAAATGCTGGCGAGGGTATAGAGAAAAGGGAACCCTCTTGAACTGTTGGTGGGAATGTAAATTGATACAGCTACTATGGAAGATGGCATGGAGATGCCTTAAAAAACTAGGAATAAAATCACCATATGACCCAGCAATCCCACTCCTAGGAATATACCCCGAGGAAACCAAAATTGAAAAAGACACATGTATCCCAATGTTCACTGCAGCACTATTTGCAATAGCTAGAACATGGAAGCAACCTGGATGTCCATCAACAGATAAAAAAGTTTTGGTACATATATACAATGGAATATTAGCCACAAAAAGGAACACATTTGAGTCAGTTCTAATGAGGCGGATGAACCTAGAGCCTAGAAGTCAGTCAGAAAGAGAAAGATAAATATTGTACACTAATGCATATATATGGAATCTAGAAAGATAGTACTGAAGAATTTATTTTCAGGGCAGCAATGGAGACACAAACATAGAGAACAGACTTATGGACATGGGGAGAGGGGAGGAGAGGGTGAGAAGTAAGGAGAGAGTAACATGGAAACTTATATTACCATATGAAAAATAGATAGCCAATGCGAATTTGCTCTATGTTTCAGGGAACTCAACCAGGGGCTCTGTATCAACCTAGAGGGGTGGGATGAGGAAGGAGTTGGGAGGGAGGTTCAAGAGGTAGGAGACATATGTATACCTATGGCTGTATACCTATGACATATGTATACTTATGTTGAGGTTTGATAGAAAACGAAATTCTATAAAGCACTTATCCTTTAGTTAAAAAATTTTTTTTTAAAAAAACCCAAAACACTTGGCTCAAAATCATAGGACAGAAGGCTGGCTGGCTTTTTCAGAGACTTCAGATTGTAGCTATAGGTGTGCTGAACTTCCTTAATTTTGTATACAGAGATTAGAACATATCAGGAGAATAATATATTTGAGTATTTACTATGTATCAGGTATTATGCTTACATAATCAGTCTATTTAATTTTTCATAGCCCTGTTTTACAGATGAGAAAATTGAGATGCAGAGGGATTCATTAGCTTATAAAATGTTTCACAGCTAGCAAACAGTGGAGTCAGGATTTAATGTAATTCTAATTCAGAACTTTCAGCTAGACTCAGTTATAATGAACTACATTATCTCAGCAATCAGTTTTGTAACTTTATTGCTACTTCAAAATTCTCCAAATCAAGCCATCTATAAAACCTAAGCCAAAAAAAAAAACGGTTGGAGGTGGTGGGGGGGTGCATTGTAAACTGATACTAAAGTACAAGCAACTTAAAAAAGAATTCAAACTATAAACTACTACTTGTAGACATTACATATTTAGCTACCCTCACTTTGACCCATATTTGATCCCTATATCTAATGTCTTTTTAAAAGACTTGAACATATGTACGTATTTTATCAATAAGAAATGGTACAAATAATAATATCAGTGGCAGAATAAAGAATTTTTCAACATACCATTAAGTTAATAGTCATACTATTTACCTATTAGTTTTAAAGTTCCTCTATAAATCTTTAAAGCAAATGCTATAGTCATACTGTTTCAACTATATTCTTTGTCAACTTGTGATTTAGTAACTAAAAATTTACAGATTTTGAGTTTTGGTAAAACCTGAAAGAAGTGCCTGTGCTGCAGGAAGAGGCCTATTCCAGTCTAGGAAATGCAGTTCTGACATGTAGACAAACAAGTCATACCTCTTTGGAAGGGTCTGTTTCTATTACAGAATTCTTATCAGTACTCTAGTTCTCATATCACTACATTATCCTTCTGAACATATCAGTCTAATAGTTCACTGAGGCTATTTTACTTATTGGTAAGTTCCTCTCTCCCCAAGACCAAACTCAGAACCTTAAGTAGACAAGCACTGTGTATTTGATTAAGATTAGAGGCAAATGATTTACTTCCTTCAGGTATATCTGATAAAAAAATATATATACACACATTTTTTTCTTACCAAAAAGAATGACTGTGCAATTGATGAACTTTCTCTTGTACACAGTAAATTTTTCTCACTGTTTTTGGATGACTTTATTGGACCTCCAACTCCACTGTTCAAGGACTCTGAAGTCTTTGGATAAGGTGATACTGATTCTGCTACACAGTCACAATCCTGAGTAAAGTCCCTTTCTGTTATTTTCTCTACACCTATATTGCCTCACAAAATACAAACAAAAAGAGGAGACAGTGTTAACCATTGACATCTTCAGAGGTAGTATTAAATCCTAAAAATGTAATAATTTAGCAAAGTCCCAAATGTTAGCTGTATTTAGAAAAGATAAACTTTCAATATATCAAGATAAAATTATGTGTAAAATATTTTATAAGACTTAAAAATTATTGCTCAATTTAAAACATAATTGTAATAGTAAGAACTTTCAAAACATTTTCAAACAAAAATATCTATAGTATGGGCTGTACTATGATGATCAACCTAATTATTATCTTGAGTATTCTAACACTACAGGCAGTACTGAGATATTAAAGTCACAGAATTTTATGGTTAGAAATGGCTTGGGAAAACATCTGATCTAAATCTTTTATATGTGGATGAGAAAATTCATGACTGAAATAAGTCAGTGTAAAGAATTCTCAGAAAGATAGTTTTCAGATCAAATCAGGGCATGTGCAACTGTCTTCTGAACGTGTGCTTGTCTGAGATGACAGTGGTCCTGAGCATTGAAAACATTCTAGAAAAGAACAATATAACTACTTTAGAGGAAATATACATTAACTAGTATAAGCCTTGAATTTTAGCTAAAATGACACTTAGAAATGCTTTAAAATATTCATAAAGGGAAAAAGATATTAAAACTAGATACTTATTTTTATAGTTTCTATACCTGAAAAACATATACCTATGTCAGAGCTCCAAAGAAAACATTTTTCTTTGCCAGTTATTTTTAAATAAAAGCAAAACCTCAATTGTTTATGAAGATAATCCACTGTGAGTTTACAGAATCAACATGATATTCCTTGGGGACTTTTGTCAATGAAATGTAAAAATGAGAAAAGAGAAAGCCCCATCATTATTTCCATTTTATCTGGAAAAAGCATTTGGTCTTTTAACTTCCTAACTTCAGTGCCACAGTAATATTGTTGCCAACTATCCTTAGCAAGACCAAGTTACTAGCATTAACTAATATAAAAATGAAGTTTTGACTACTAAAAACTTTAAATATACCCCTTAAAATTAAGTCTTCAAATTGTGTTTTCACATAGAGATATAATATAGAAATGGCCTGGGAAATCATCTAAATATTCAACTAGAAGAAAAAAATGATACTGACATCTCATTACTTCTATAGATGATGGACTCCCAGATAAAGACATAGGAGATGGGTCAAGACTATTATCTCTTCCAGCATCTTTCAGGACAGATGAGATTTTCCATTCTTTTGATACATCCTCTTGTGTTTTGGCAGTGAAGGAATTCTGCTGTTTCTTTGGCAGTTTCACAGTTTTGCTTCTGGAATGAATCTTCTCCTAAAAATATTGATAACTTTCAAATTATTCATGAATGCAAATGATTTATACTTGGGACACATAAAACAATTTAAATTACATAGAAATATTTATAAAATGCCTTATTTCACTACATACAGGTGTAACAGGGGCCTCAACATGAGTAGTGAAGACTTTCTAATATACTAGAAAGCATATGACAAATACACAGGAGACTATAGAGACCATAAATATCCTAATAGATACAAATAAAATGCTATAACAGTTCAAAGAAAATGATTTCCAGTTTAGGGAAATCAGAATCCCCATATTTCTTTTTTTTTCCCCATATTTCACTTGCAATTTTAGAATTCAAAATTGTTTACAATTGTTATCAATTTATGTTTTCTCACATAGGTTAAATCTTAAAAAGAAGTGACAAGATAAATCTGACATTCTTACAAAAATATATATTTAATATTTTAAAAGGGTCTTAGAAGCTACTAATTTGAATTCTATCTATTTACCTGTACTAGAACTTTTTCTTTAAATGAACATGAAAATTCTTGTTCACCCTCTGATTCTGAATTTGAGAGGTCTTTATAATTTTTTTTGGTTTTTGCTGCTCTTCGTGGAAGTCTGGTTCTCCCATATGCAACTGTCTCATCTACCTTTTTGGTAATGATTTTGTTGGGTGTCTTTAGAAGAAAAATTCCTGAGTATATTAGATCAATATTTTGAGATACAAGCTATTGGCTATAAAATTGACACTATGACAAAATCTATATGAATATTTGTAGGAATAAAACGATTCTTGATTAATACTTTTAAAATGACTGGATTTTCTCTTTTCATTTAAAATATATTCTTTATCAACTTTTTATCTGAATAATTAAAAGTTCTGTGAGGTCTGATATATATTATGTAACTTAAGAGAGAAAGGAAAAGCTGTCAAAAAAAATCTATAACCACAAAGTAAAACAGACTTAAAACAACATGATTCAAAAAGGCAGAAGTAAGTGTGCCAAGCTTGGAACAATTATAGAAAACAAGGAACTGATACCAAGGATAAAATTATGAGATGACAAATGATATTTTTTCAATACAAGGAGAAAAATAATTTTAAAGGGATGTTCAAACACAGATTTCCTGGTTTTACCATTTTAGATCTTGGTTGCGCCCTTTCCAAAGATGGTCCTGTAATTCAAGAAATAAGGTTAAATTTTTCAAATAGACAAGAACTCACATCAAAAATTGTTAGAATATGTCTGCAAATAAGTTAAAATCATAAAAATAAGAATGTACTTTCAAATGCATTCAAAAATTTAAGTATAATTTGGTACAATATGAATTACCAACTTCCCTTGTCCTTTACTGGCTCAGAGGTTAAAGCATCTGCCTGGAATGTGGGAGACCCCAGTTTGATCCCTGAGTTGGGAAGATCCCCTGGAGAAGGAAATGGCAACCCACTCCAGTACTCTTGCCTGGAGAATCCCATGGAGGGAGGAGCCTGGTAGGCTACAGTCATAGAGTCAGACACGACTGAGCGACTTCACTTCACTTCTCTTTTCTATTATGAACTTTTAAACAAACAAAAGAATATGTAACATACGCTATAAAGTCAATACCCATGAATTTACTGTTCCATTTAGGAACTAGATTATGAATACTACTGAGTCTACTTTGTGTACTCCCTTACAAGGCCCTGTATAGCCTATAGCCCCTCTGCCAAAAAGCCATCACTATCCTTAAATCTGTTTCTTAGTCACTTGACCTTACACTTTTACTTCACAGATACATATCCCTAAACAATACAAAGCAGTCATGTCATGTAATATACTATGATTTGCTTTATTTTTCACCCATCATTATGTTTCTAATATTTACCCATATTATTGAGAATTGCCTCAGTCCCTATTCCCTTTCTTGATTTCTAGCACAAGTTCAACTTTCTAAATATTCACTGAAGCCTTAAGAATTGGGATAATCCAAGCCAAGGAAATAATGAAGTTCTGGAAGAAAGGTCCTCCAATCCTGGCAATAAGCCAGCTTGTACATTTGGCTTGTCATTCAGGTATATAAACAAAACAACTCACTCAGAAGTGTTCAATTTTAAGAGTATTTACTGATTAGAGTATTCTAACCTTAATAACTCCTCAAGATTTCTAGTCTATGTTATAAATATCTTTACTTATACATCTTCCCACCAGACAATAGCTCCTGACTATATTATCTTACCATGTTTCTCCTTGGCTTGTAACACACTGCCTCTAAGTCCACACACTGTGACTAGATCCGGCAGCATTTCTCAACATTTTCCCACAAGTCTGACCTACATTTCAACTACTCTGACACTGCACTTCCTGCATACACTGTGCTATTTCATACTGTCTCATAAATGTGACAATCTTATTGCTTCTCTTCCTTATGAATATGACTGAAATCTCATCTGTTTTCTAAATTCAGTCACATTTCTAAACACATGCCAAAGTTCATTTCCCATTTCCTCTATTTTTACTTCTTTGTAAGCCATCAACTCCCACAGGTCACTAAATTATTTTTACCCTAAAATAAAAATTGATTCCCTTAAAATAAATATAAACTTAAAAGCTTAGTTATACTACCTTCTTTTAAAAATGGAATACATGAGGTCTTTGTGGCTTAGAAAATACTGAAATAGATGTTAAGCTATGAAAATGGACATTATGTCTAGCCAAAAATGTATACCTCAAACACTTATCCAACTACTTCAAGAGATTCACTAAAAGAAACAGAAGATTTATGCCAGGAAAACATTTTATGAAAGATTTAGACACAAAAATGTCTGCAATAAAACTGTTTCAATAAATTTGTATTGCATCTATATAAATTCCTAAAACGTATATGTGTTGGATGTAGCCGGGAATGGGGTGCTGTCCAAGGATTGATTTTGTTTAGGGTGCTGGCCTCATGAATATTTAATACATTAAATAACTGAAGAACAGGCCATGAGTAGATGAACAATGAGAGTGTGTCGTGAACCAAAGATTACAGTAAGCCATATTTTGTGTCCCTAAGATCCCAATAAAAAGATTTAAATATGACCATAATACCCAGAATCATAAAACAAAAAGTAAAACCGCTGTAGTGTTTTGGTATTATCTCATTCATAAGGGTAGACAATTATAAAAAGTGATTTCTTACTTGATTTCTTCCCATTTTTATGTTTCTTCACATTTTTATTTCTGCTGTAGTCCATCATCAGTGGTTTTGATTTTGGTTCTCTTAGCCAGCTAATATCAGTCTTGCCGTCATCACATCTATATTCTGTGTCACTGTCACTAAAGGGATTTTTCTTTTTACAATCTGATCCAATCTATATTAAAACAAACAATCCTTATAACAGATGAAGTAATCTGGCTTGCTATATGTCATACAAAGGAAATTAAGCAAAAAAAAAAAATCCTACCAAAAAACTCAGAAAAACTAATTCTTTATTATTTTAGCATGCTAAATAATCCATTTGGCATTAAGGACCCATCCAATACACTCTGAAATCCAGATCAGAGACTGACATATTTTGCTGTCCATGTTGTTGTTAATTAAAAGTTAAAATCAAAACAGCTTACTTCCACAAAGACAAAACCTAATACCATTTAAGAGAGTAGAATTGTCATATCTTCTATTACTAATGATTACAAATAGCTCAGAGACCATAAGAAAAGATATAACGGGAACATGGACAATCTCTCCAAAGTAAAAAAAAAAAAAAAAAAAAAAGTGATCCGAATATTTTTGTGTTCCAGTTCTGTGATAATCTTTGGCACTGAAAAATTATTAAAAACAAATATTGATTTAATAGACACATTAGGATATTATTACTTACTCTCTTATCTTTTGCTTTGAGAGAAGGTTCAAGTTCATCATGATTCCTTAAACCTACCCTTAAACAAAAATATGCATTAATTTTAATCATAATTACTTGTTTTAAGGTAGCATGTGAGTGGACAGTTATACCTGTTTTCTTAGAGTTTTCTGCCTTAACTCTTTCACTAACTCCCTATATAATTATGCCCAAATCACTTACTCTCTCTGACCTCAGTTATTTACTAAATAACAAGGTTAGATGAAAAGACTACTAAATCCTTTCAGATTACAACTAATATTAAAAGTATACAGACTCTGCATATTAATTTCAGAAGTAAATGCTAAAATAATAGAATTATAGTAGGAGTAGTCAGGACAGTAGCATGTTATTCACTCTTTTGATATGTTAAAATGTCTCAGACAAACTGGAAGGAAATATTTAAGAAAAAGAACAATTGAGGAAGCTGTGTTTTAAACTGATCCATCTGATTATAATAAAAATACCTACAATGTTATTGAACTATCCATGCAGGCTTCTCTAGCTGTAGCTTGAAATTCTTGCATCTATATTGTGAATAAGCATTAAAATTTTTTTCTTAGTGTTAAAAGGTAAACAACAAAAGAAATTAACATAAAAATCTCATTTCTATCACTTCATATGAGACAAAATCTTACTAAAACATTTTTATATTTAAGAAGAAAGCTAATAATATAAACTATATTAAAAACAAGAGTAATTTTGTTAAAATTACATTTTAAAACTTAGAATGTAATTTTAAATCTTGCATCAGGAAGGAAAGAGACTTTCTTGTTGCCCCAATTACTCATTTTTCTCTACTTTAGTCCAAAAGGTTTGAAAGAAAATCAAAAATACCTAGGTTGGTACCAAATAAATTTTAAAAAATTTAATAATATACTTTAAAATATTTTAAAGCAAATATATATATATAAGAGGATGGAAATCAGAAAGCATACTCTAATAATTGTATGGTAAATATAAAATAAATACTGAATAAATACAAAATAACTTCTGATATCTAGCTTACTCCAAGTTTAATAACAGGTTCATCAGCTCCACTCAAATTAAAATTGTAAACATCATCCCTGTAAAAATGAAGAGAAACATTAACTCCATTATACAACAAATTTTTCTTCAAATGTGAAAACTTTTAAAGATTTATGAAAAATTACTTACAATGGGCATTCTGAAGTAACATTAACAAAAGTAGTCTTCAATTGTCTATAACTTTTTTTCTGAACCTTCTCCTAAATACAAAAGAAGTTTACATAAAACCATTCATACTTGCACCTTGCTTGTCAAACAGCATATACAACTAAACTTTCATATATTATTCTAATGGTGTTTTCATTAATATAAATTTTACATTTGTGACAGTTTCTTTACTTATCTACACTTTAAAAAAAAATTGAAGACTTAAGTACTAACTGAGAACATAATAGAAATATTATAAATCAGATACAAAACTAATATCCTTGTATCTTTAATATTTATTGAAATTATTATACATAGGTAAATTACTCACTGGTATTCTGAATTCATTGATTCTAGGATTACAAAACAAGCATGCTTCTACTCCCCTCCCACCTCCCTCCCCCATCGAGAATCTCATTTGCTTTAACTGTTAAATAAAAAACTTTGGGAGAGGCTAAGATTTATGCAAAATCTCAGGTGAATGAATCAAAACTGTATCAGCCAACTATTAATAGTATTATTAGGGAAAAATGTATGTAAATTTACTCCTATAGCCACTGCTCAAAGTATATTCAATATGATCAAAAAGCACAAAAGAAGTAAAATAAAATCTTAACATATTTAATTATGTTATTGACATAATTTAACTATATCACTAAATGATTACTAATGAGAAATAATTAAAGTCTAATATCTAGAAGTTGGGAATATTAAAACTAAAATATTCATTTTAGTTGTGATTCCTCTTCAATTTTATTTATTTATTTTGGCTATTTTATAATAATTTGCATTATTCCAGAAAGTTTATCCTTCAATATTTTACTCTTTTAATTACTTATCTGACTTAATCTTTCCAAAATGACTTTTACCAGTGTTTAGATACATTTGCTCAATTCATCTTTTGCAGGTCAGTTTTTGCTAGGTATTACAGAAGATACAAAAATAAGCAACCATATTAATGAAGGTACAAATGTGAGCAAAGGTCTTACTTATACAGGATACAAAGATGATTCTAAACAGTTACATTCTAGAAGACAAAAGAGAGAAAGAAAGAACTGCAACAGTGAATAAAATACCAAAAAAAGGGACAAGGACACTGCTGCACAGATTCAGAATTCTTGCCCATTTGGATTTTGAGTCAGGGCACCTTAGAAAGTTTTCATGGAGAAGGCAGACTCTGAAGCAAGGCCTGCAAGGAGGAATAAATTTTTGACGCTGAGAAAAGAGGTTAAAGAACCTAGTGACTCACTTCAAAGTTCTTTTCAAAGGGGGAAGAAAAAGAATAAACACAGCAAAGACACTTCAGGGAATCTTAAATTATTCTGTTTCAGCTAAGCAAGACATGTCTAGGAAACTAATTTTGCGAAGTAATTCAGACTTTTAAGAGGTCTAGGAGCCAGCTTAGGTCTCCACCTAAATCAATAAGCAACAGAGACCAAAGAAAGATTTTTGAATAAGAGAATGACATGACTGAAGCTGTGTGCTTTGGAAAGTAAAAAAGCTAGTAGTGAAGGTAATGAATGGATTGGCACAGAGACAATATTAGTGACAAAAAGAACTACATAAAGGAGACTGTAATAAGCTGGGGATTAGAAATAAAAAACAAAACAAAACTGGAGTTGGCATGGTCAGGAGAAGGAAGATTCAAGAGGAAATTACAGAAGGAGAATCTCAAAACTTTAAATTAAGTGGAGATAACTGTGAGGAATAAATCAAACATAACTGATATTTTAAACCTGGCTGAAGAGTAAATGTTTCTAACAAAACTATGGACTTCAGAATAATCTTATTGTCAAGAGAGATAGGATGAGCTAGGAAAAAAACATGGTACTGAATCATGTACCAAAAAGTAAAAATATCACACATGTTAAAAGCAGCATTTTCTTTGAAAAGCAGAACAGAAGTTTAGGGGGCTCTCTTGAGTACTTGACACTAAACTTGTCAGTTGTTTAATCTGTTTTTCAATATGCTGAAAACATTAAATCTATATCCATCTTACTACTATTTTACTGTAAAGTCAAATTATCATCGTCTTTGACTATACGTTTGGTGTAGTTAAATAAATGAAACTTACCTTACCAAGCTGTAGATCTAATTTGTTTGAAAAACCACTATAAAAAAGGTTTTGTCAAAGTTAAAAAGGCAATTAAAATGTCAGTAGAATGTATTTCATAAAAACCATTTTATATAAGGTAAAACATATTTGGGTCACTAAGTCTATATTTAATATGCTACAAATGACTGAAATGTGACAGTACTAGTCTTATACCTTTGCAACTTCAGCCATACTTAACAGCAACAATAATAGTTAAATCTAAGCTGAATCACTCATGCAGCAGGAGGTGTCAGGCAATTTAAAATGAATGGTTCTGCCATAAGAGTAATTTTTTCCATGCCATATAAAGCCAAAATTAATTTAAACAGGAACCAACCACCTGGAAGACTATAAAGAAATATTTTATAATAAAACTTTCAAAAAGACTGCAAACAAGGAATACATATTTGCTATTAAAATAACTCATTTTAGCTCATTTAAGTTTGGTATTTTCTTCAGCAATATATTTAAATATATTTAGTTTTACTCATCATAGACTCAATAAATAAAATTTCTAAAATGTCTATATCCTAAAGATTTCTGAAATGGTATGCTGCATCAATATTATATTCTTAAATGACTACTTCCAATTTTAGTTCCCTTTCTATATAATTTAAATAGATACTATTTATAAAAGTAAATAAGTACTTGTGTTTTCAAATGGAAAGTTACATTATCTGCAAGTATGTTTAAAACTAACCTTAAAACTATGTAAAATAATTTAGTTGTATATGTCAGGAAAATATTCATTTCTAAAGTTTAAGAGCATACCTTTCAATCAAAGACTCCTTTGATTTTCTTACAGACTGTATGCTGTCCTTTGGCTGGTATCGCTTATTAATTTGGTTTATCAAAGATTCTGCTGCATCAGTAAATCCTTTCCCTTTTGACTTTTCTCTCTGAAATAATTTATAAGTTACTTAAAAACTCTACCAGTTAACCTTCAAAGGAAAAAAAAAGGCTGAAAATAAAATTTAAGAAAAATCTGGTTCATTAAATAACTACAAAGTGGAATAAAAGGGGTCAGAAATGTATTGTTTTTAAAAAGAAATTATTTAATAAATTTGGGCTTTACTAGGCACTAAAACAACCTAGGATAAAGTCTTTTAACATATAGAACTGTGCAGAGTGCTTGGTAGCAGTTAAAAAAATGTTTCTATCCATGGGGGGAAAGTTGTAAAAAAATGAAAGAAACCAAAAGTTGGTTCTTTGAAATGATCAATAAAATTGATAAGCCTCTGGCAAATTGGGAAAAAAAGAGAAAAAAGACAGAATTTACTAATATCAGAAATGAGAGACAATTACATGGGTAATAAATCACAAGGCTAATAAAAAAGTATTATGAACAACTTTATGTTCGTGAATTTGATAACCAAAACTGGCCAATTCCTTGAAAGATAAGTTTTATCAAAACTCACACAGAGAGAAATAAATTACCTGAATAGGCCTAATCTATTAAAGAAAGTGAATCAATAATTAATACCTGCCAAAATAGAAAGCAACAGGCGAATGGGTTCACTTTTGGATTTTATTGAACATTTAAGGAAGAATCATAATTTTTCACAACTTTCAGAAGATAGGAGCAGAGGGAGTACTTCCTAGCTCACAGCATGAAACCAATATACCCTAGTACCAAAATCAAAGAACTTACAAGTAAGGAAACCTACAGGCTAGCATCTTTAATAAACATAGGTACAAAAAGCCTCAATAAAAAGTTTAGCAAATTGAATCCAACAATGTAGAAAAAGAATTATGTACCACAACCAAGTGGACTTAATTTCAGGTATGTGATGTTGATTCAACATTTGAAAATCAACTAATATAAGCCATGATAAGTAAGAAACATAATATGATCATATCAATAGATGTGCAAAAGTATTTGACAAAATCCAATATCCACTCACAGTAACAATTTTCAGTAAACTAGGAATGGAAGGGAATGTCCTCAACTTGATAAAGAACATCTAAAAAAAATTATGGCTAACATTACAACTTAAAGAAGTACAACTTAAAGAAGAGAAACTAGATATTTTCCCACTGATAAGAGAAACAAGGCAAGATTGCTGCTGTCACCATTCCTATTAAACATCATTCTAGAAGTCTTACAAAATTCCCTAAGACAAGAAAAGGAAATATACTGCATACATACTGGGAAGAAATAAAACTGTCTTCGTTCACAGATGATATCACTGTCTATGTAGAAAACCTCAATAATCAACAAAAATTCTTGAAGCTAAAAAATATATATAGCACAACTGAAAGATATAAGGTTTGTATACAAAATCGCTTTCTTATAAACCACTATGAACAAATGGAATGTGAAATTACATTTTGCTTATATTAGGTCCCCCAAAATGAGATATTTAAGTGTAAATCTAACAAAGCATATAATAGAGCTATATAAGGCAAACATGACTGATGAAAAAAATCAAAGACTATCTAAAACAAGAGAACAGATACATGTATAACTGAATCACTTTATTGTACACCTGAAACTACACATCATTAATCAACTATATGCCAAAATAAAACAAAAATTTTAAATAAATAAATGGAGATATTCCATGTTCAGGGATAAGCAGCTCCATGTTGTCAAGATGTCGATTCTTTTCAGCTTGATCTATAAATTCAATGTAATCTCAATCAAAGTTCTAGCAAGTTATTTTGTGGTTACTGACAAAACGATTCTAAAATTGACATGGAGAAGCAAAAGACCCTGAGTGGCCAACAGAATATTAACAGAGAAGTCTGAGGACTGACCCTACTTTAAGACTTAATGAAAAGATACAATAATCAAAACAGTGTGGTACTGGTGAAGGAATAGAGAAAGACAATAATGGAACAAAACAGAGAGCCCAGAAAGAGGGTCACATAAATACAACTAGCTGACCTTTGACAAAGGAACAAAGGCAGGGCAATGGAGAAAAGTTAGCCCTTTCCAACAAATGGTGCTGGAACATCACCATGACAAAAAAAAAAAAAACAACAAAACTAGACACAGATTTTATACCCATCAAGAAAATTAACTCAAAATGGATAACAGACCTAAATGTAAAGTGCAGACTATAAAAATCCTAGGAGACAACAGAGGAGAAAATCTAGGTGACCTTGGGTTTTGCAATGCCTTTTTATTTGCTAAACCAAAAGCACAATCCATGAAAGAAAAAATTGTTAAGTAGGACTTCATTAAAATTAAAAATTTCTGCTCTGCAAAAGACACTGTTTAGAGAATGAAAAGACAGGCCACAGACTGGAAGCAAATATTTGTAAAATATATATCTGATAAAGAACTTGTATCTTAAATACACAAAGAACTATTAAAACTCAACAATTAGGAACCAATTAATAACTGGGCAAAAGTTCTGAGAAGACAACTCACCAAAGATATACATATTGTAAATAAAGATACGAAAAGATGCTCAACATCACCTGTCATTAGGGAATTGCAAATTAAAACTAATACCATCAAGCAGCCATAAGAATGGCTAAAATCCAAAACACTGACAATATCCAGTGGCAAGGATGTAGATCAACAGGAACTCTGATTCGTTGCTGCTGAAATGCAAAAACAGTACAGCCACTTCTTCCACTTTTGGAAGACAGGCAGTTTCTCATAAAACTAAACATACTCTTACCATACGACCCAGCAATCATGCTTCTTGGTATTTTCCCAAATGAGCTCAAGTTTATGTCCACACAAAACCTGCACATGAATGTTTATAGAAGCATTATTCTTAAGTGTCAAAACATGGAAACAACCAAGATGTCCTTCAATAGATGAATAGATAAACAAAATCTTGGTATGTCCATATAAAGGATTCAGCATTAACAACAGCAAAAAAGCTGTCAAACCATGAAAACACAGGGAGGAATATTCAATGCATATCGCTAAGTGAAAGAAGCCCAATATGACTTCATACTATATGATTCAGTCTATAAATATATAGACTACATACTATATGATTCCAACTCTATGGTATTCTGGAAAAGGCAAAATTATGGAGACAGTAAAAAGATCAGTTTTTGTCTGAAGTTTAATTGGGGAGAGAAGAAACAGGGGAGGGATGGACCATGGGAATTATAGGCAATGAAACTATTATTATGCATGATACTCTGAGGGTCAATATCTGTTGTTATACATCTGTCAAGACACATGGAAGATACAAAGAGTGACCTATAAGGTAAACTATATACTTGAGTTAGTAATGTATCAATATGGGCTCATTGTTCCTAACAAATCTGTAGCACTGTCACTGACAGGGAAAACTGGGGTAGAGTGATGGAGTAATATGGACTCTCTGTATAGCTGTATCCCTGAAACTGCTCTAAAAATTCTATTAATTTTTTAACGTAAAAACTACAAAGTAAGAATTATTATCTGCATAATTTTAGATAATTTGGTTAAAAGAAAGTCTGAAGGAGACTCTTAAAAAAAGACATGAGTTCTCTTGCTTTCAGTTTTACTTTTTTTCTGGGAATCAGGCATATGGGTTTTTTAAATTGTGGTAAAATATTTTGCCAAGAGGATGCACTGGTCATAGAAAACACCCTCTTCCAACAACACAAGAGAAGACTCTACACATGGACATCACCAGATGGTCAATACCAAAATCATACTGATTATATTCTTTGCAGCCAAAGATGGAGAAGCTCTATATAGTCAGCAAAAACAAGACTGGGAGCTGACTGTGGCTCAGATCATGAAGTCCTTATTGCAAAATTCAGACTTAAATTGAAGGAAGTAGGGAAAACCCTAGAAATCAAATCTCTTATGACTACACAGTGGAAATGACAAACAGATTTAAGGGATTAGATGCGACAAACAAGAGTGCCTGAAGAACTATGGACACAGGTTAATGACACTGTACAAGAGGCCGGGATCAAGACCATCCCCAAGAAAAAGAAATGCAAAAAGGCAAAATGGTTGTCTGAGGAGGCCTTACAAACAGCTATGAAAAGAAGAGAAGTCAAAGGCAAAGGAGAAAAGGAAAGATATACCCATTTGAATGCAGAGTTCCAAAGAATAGCAAGGAGAGATATGAAAGCCTTCCTCAGTGACCAATGCAAAGAAACAGAGGAAAACAATAGAATGGGAAAGACTAGAGATCTCTTCAAGAAAATCAGAGATACAAAAGGAACATTTCATGCAAAGATGGGTTCAATAAAGGACAGAAATGGTATGGACACAACAGAAGCAGAAGATATTAAGAAGAGATGGCAAAAATACACAGAAGAACTGTACAAAAAAGATCTTCATGACCCAGATCATCACAATGGTGTGATCACTCACCTAGAGCCAGACATCCTGGAATGTGAAGTCAAATGGGCCTTAGGAAGCATCACTATGAACAAAGCTAGTGGAGGTGATGGAATTCCAATTGAGCTATTTCAAATCCTAAAAGATGATGCTGTTAAAGTGCGATACTCAATATGCCAGCAAATTTGGAAAACTCAGCAGTGGCCACAGGACTGGAAAAGATCAGTTTTCAATCCAAGTCCAAAGAAAGGCAATGCCAAAGAATGCTCATACTACTGCTCAATTGCACTCATATCACACGCTAGCAAAGTAATGCTCAAAACTCTACAAGCCAGGCTTCAACAGTATGTGAACCATGAACTTCCAGATGTTCAAGCTGGATTTAGAAAAGGCAGAGGAACCAGAGATCAAATTGCCAACATCTGTCTGATCATCGAAAAAGCAAAAGAGTTCCAGAAAAACATCTACTTCTGCTTTACTGACTATGCCAAAGCCTTTGATACTGTGGATCACAATAAACTGTGGAAAATTCTTCAAGAGATGGGAATACCAGACCACCTCACCTGCCTTCTGAGAAATCTGTATGCAGGTCAAGAAGCAACAGTTAGAACCGGACATGGAACAACAGACTGGTTCCAAATCAGGAAAGGAATATGTCAAGGCTGTATACTGTCACTCTGCTTATTTAACGTATATGCAAAGTACATCATGAGAAACGCTGGGCTAGATGAAGCACAAGGTAGAATCAAGATTTCCGGGAGAAATAACCTCAGATATGCAGACGACACCACCTTTATAGCAAAGTGAAGAAGAACTAAAGAGCCTGTTGAAAGTGAAAGAGGAGAGTGAAAAAGTTGGCTTAAAACTCAACATTAGGAAAACTAAGATCATGGCATATGGTCCCATCACTTCATGGAAATAGATGGGGAAACAGTGAAAACAGTGACCGACTTTATTTTTTTGGGCTCCAACATCACTGCAGATGGTGACTGCAGCCATGAAACTGAAAGACGCCTGCTCCTTGGAAGAACAGTTATGACCAACCTAGATAGCTCATTAAAAAGCAGAGACATTACCTTGCCCACAAAGGTCTGCCTAGTCAAAGCTATGGTTTTTCCAGTAGTCATGTATGGATGTGAGAGTTGAACTATAAAGAAAGCTGAGCACTGAAGAATTGATGCTTTTAAACTGTGGTGTTGGAGAAGACTCATGAGAGTCCCTTGGACTGCAAGGAGATCCAACTAGTCCATCGTAAAGGAGATCAGTCCTGGGTGTTCACTGGAAGGACTGATGTTGAAGCTAAAACTCCAATACTTTGGCCACCTGATGCGAAGAGCTGACTCATTTATAAAGACCCTGATGCTGGGAAAGATTTAAGGCAAGAGGAAAAGGGGACAACAGAGGATGAGATGGTTGGATGGCATCACCGACTCAATGGACATGAGTTTGAGTAAACTCCGGGAGTTGGCGATGGGCAGGGAGACCTGGCGTGCTGCAATCCATAGGGTTGCAAAGAGTTGGACATAATTGAGTGACTGAACTGAACAAATATAGCATGACATAAAATATACTATTTTAATCACTTTTTAAGTTCACATGTTTTTATATATAGTAAATAATAAGTTATTACTATCTTTTCTTGAGATTACCAGAATGAAGACAGGGTATACTCACCTTGATAAAAATGTGGCAAAAACAAACCTCCCCTAAAAGAGTGTATTAAGAACTTTGACATAATTGGAGTCAATGTGGGACATCTGTACTACTGAACTTATAGAGGTTCTATTTCTGTGGGTTTATCCGGTGAGAGAAAGACAGGATCAGACAGATGACTATCTTGGAGGAGAGTGGCAGAAACTCTAGGATAGTAATAAAGAGGGTGCACTATGAAGGAGTGAAAAGAACTTCTGAAAACAAGAAGTTGATTTTTTTTAGAAATCAGAGCACAGCTTAGAAATGATGATCAAGTTTTGGTGTTTCCAGGAAAAAATGACTAGATCAGAAAAATTCTGTGGAGTGATTCTAAACTCCAATGAAAACAGTTTAAAATTGAAGGAGAGATCAACAGTCAGACAACAAAAACCTTACTTCCACTGGGTCTGAAGAAACTAAATAGCATCTAAGACTAGAAAGAAGAACAGCATACTGATAAGAAAAAAATAACCGAAAGGATTTGGTTAAAATGGAAAGCAGCTAAAATAGATAGAAAAGGTGATTTTCACATTGAAAACAAAAATAAATAGTAGTCTGGTTAAGACAAATTAAATAATATCTAATGATATAAAACTGCAAAATTAGCTATTAAATATTTCACTTGTACACTAAAATGCTCCAATATATAAACATTTTACATTGACTCTAGAAATCTGGCTACCCAGGTATTAGTAATACTTTGGAAGATAAATGAAGGCCTATAGATTCTGGATCTATTAAGGCACAGTGAAGAAAAGGATTGCATTATTGCCAGTGGAAATGTATTCTCATTAGAAAATTTTATTTAATCTGCATCTTGGTAGCAATGACCAAAGAAAAGATTTATGGTAACTGCAACAAAAAGGAAACTTTCAGTTTCAAAATACGGTTATACTAGCTAAAACTGTTCTGGAGATGTTCTACAGACAATGAATTTGAAGAAAAGGAGGCTCCAATGAGGATGAGCAACATGTTTCCTCCACCCCATTTACATCCTTTCTTGAAAGACCTTGTCAGACTTAAAGGCAAAATCCAAGAAATGTTTCAGATGCTACTATGTGCAAAGCTGTACTAGGCCATATAGGAAAACGAATGTTGAACATAGTCTCTACACTTTAGTACATTAAAACAGGGGGGAAAAAACACACAAAACAACCATTTATTGAAAAGAAAGATAAGCACATAAGAGAGCCATAGACAGTTCTATACTATATTCAAAAGAATCTGGGGGACAGAGTGGGGAGACCCAACAAGAGGAGACAAGGAACTGCAGGGCTCATACATGCTATACCTATTTACAAGCCTGCTATGCACTAGTGGGCACATGAGTTCTATCACTATGGGACTCGGGAGAGGTCAGAAAGGAGTTCAGGAGTACTCATTCTCAGAGTCTAAGCTTGAATTAAGGAACAGGGTATTACTTTCTTGGCTACCAGCGGGGAGAAGGAAGAGGAGAGGAGTAAGATAGGGGTATGGGATTAAGAGATGCAAACTACTAAGCATAAAATACATGTGCAACAAGGGTAAATCACACAGCATAGAGAAACACAGCTGTTGTTTTGTAATAATTTTAGAAGGAATATAAGCTATAAAAATACTGATTATATTACACACCTGAAGCTAATGTAATACTATATAAATCAACTATAGTTCAATTAAGAAAAGCACAGGGGAATTACAAACATTAAATTTGTAGCTATTAATCAAGCTACTTTCACTTTATGTTATTAAGGAGGCATATTATGGATATGCAGAAATAAAACGCACTGAAAACTCACCGTGTTTTTTTGTTTCAAAGCCCAGGAATTAAACTCAGATGTCAATCTTCTCCCTGATTTTCTAAGACTCTTTGCATTTTTTCGAGAAGGGCTTTGATCACAAGTATCAGTATTCACATCTTTTGACAACACATATTTCTTCTTATAGATCACAGATTCTTCAACTGTCTTATTTAGGAGGACGGATTTAAAAGTAGTTTCAGATTCAATACACCAATCACTCTGCTTGGTATCTTCAATACTTTTATCCTCCAAATGTGTAGTGTGACCTGGTTGTTGTCTGCTTGGTGTGCAGTCATCTGCTTCTGCTTTATCTGTTCTGTTATGTTGCATTATCTCCTTCCTACACTGTACCTTTCCTGTTTCCTCAGAATTATCATCAGATATTGAAGAGGATGACTTTTGTTTAGTAAGTTTTTGGTTGATAACAATATCTAGTGGGAAAATGAGAAATTAATCCTTAATAAATTTTTAAATTGATCATATATAAAATTAAAACCAAAATATTTGTTAAGACATCTCAAGAAATGAGTATTTCCTTGAATAATATACAGCAGGTTTCACCTTGATTAAATGTGTCTTTTGATGAAGTACTTGCTCTTTGGTTATTACACAGATTAATATTTGTTACAGGTGTCCAACATGCCCATTTGGAGTGCATTTTATCTCCACAGGTATTGTCTAAAATACCAGGTAACCTGAAAAATAATTAATTTGCTCATTATAAAACATTAGCCTATGACTCTGGTACAAGATCTTGACTTTTTCTTAGTCAATGTTTATTGACAGAAATTTGTTCAAGTATGAAAAAAATTTTCATTAAGTCATAATGAAAATGAAAACTTACTATATAATTTATTAAAGAATACTATTCTAAAAATTCCATTATTGCTACTATTTTGAGATCTACCTAAATACATCTCAGGTATCTGACATATATCTTCATGGGTATTTAAACTTGGTTAAATTTCTTCTTATTCATGCTTTATTATCTTAAAGCTTTCATTCATTTTAAGTTTCTCAATTTGAAGAGTTTTATCAGTTGATACAGAAAAAACATACAAGATATTCACCACTGTACTATCATAATACTTGAAAGATGATTAATTCTATAACCAATTCTACATTCTAAGAACATAAAGGCCTCTTCCTTTAAATTTGTTTATCAGTTTCTAAGTCATGTCTGACTCTTTGCAACCCCATGGACTGCAGCATGCCAGGTTTCTCTGTCCCTCATCATCTCCCTGAGCTTGTTTAAACTCAGGTCCATTGAGTTAGTGATGCCATTCAACCATCTCATCCTCTGTTGCCCTATTCTCCTCTTCCCCTCAATCTTTCCTAGCATCAGTCCTTCCAAAGAATACTCAGGGTTGATTTTCTTTAGGATTGACTCATTCAATCTCCTAGGTGTCCAAGGGACTCCCTAGAGTCTTCTCCAGCACCAGTTTGAAAACATCAACTCTTCGGGGCACAGCCTTCCTTATGGTGCAACTCTCACATCCACATGTGACTACTGGAAAAACCACAGCTTTGACTATATGGACCTTTGTGGGCAAAGTGATGTCTCTGCTTTTTAATATGCTATCTAGGTCTGTCATAGCTATTCTTTCAAGGAGCAAGCGTCTTTTAATTTCATGGCTGTAGTCACCATCTGCATTGATTTTGGAGCCCAAGAAAACAAAATCTGACAGTTTCCACATTTTACCCATCTATTTCCCATGAAGTGATAGGACCAGATGCCATGGTCTTTTAAATTTGTTACATGATCTTTTAAATTTGTTACATTCATCTAGATAGAGTAACATTATTATAGGCTAAATGACTAGATGGATATTCTCATACTTACCCAGGTTTATCTATTCTTCCTGCTGCCTGTGAATCAAGAACAATTTCCTGGAGTTCACCTAAATAAAACAAAAATTATGGTATCCTCATTTATTCATACAGTTGGTAGGGTTAAATGAAAGCTAGTGTAGAATTTGATCAAAGTTCATATATTGGGATGGAGAGATTGATTGATCTCATCTTCCTACTCCCAGACACAAACTTCTTGGAAACAAAGGCTGTATTATACTTACTCATAATTTCCAAGTTCTCTGCATAGAGCTGAATGTATTCATTATAAATCTTTTTCAAATAAATGAAACTCAGTGAAGTTAATGTATAGAAATATGTATGTGTCTGTATGTATATGTGTGTGTATATGTGTGTATATTATAAGAAAGAATGGCGAAAATTGAACCAAAAAGTACTTACTAAAATTTTGGTTTGGGAATTCAGTGTCCTTATTTTCTGTCTTTTCTATAACTTTAGCAGTTTTGATAGGCTATAAACAGGAGAAATTTTAATATAAATTTGAATTAAGGCATTACATGAAAATGACTTTTAAAAGAGTATTGTTTAAAACTTTCAAATTTTGCCTTATGATTAAAAGCTGGATAGTAGTTCTATTTTTCATAAAATTATGCCCATTCTAGAATACTCCCTTATCCTAAAACACAAGAAAGTAACTTTTATTACAGATAAGGAGGCATTACAGCCTACAAATTTTCTGATCTCAGCCATAGCTAGAAAAATAATGTAATTTTTCTCTCTGAGAATTTCTGGAACCTCCATGCCGTGTCATCTATTGCTCTTGATCTCATAGCCTGCATCTATTCTGTCTTTTCTCAATATACATATGAACTGAAGTGTCAAATGATCTTGTAAAGCTTTGGCCACTGCACAGGTAACTTCTTGATGACAGCAAGCTTCTTTCTTTCCACAGCCACATATACACATTTGTTCAGACAAAATAAAAATATGCCATCACTATCAGAAAAATATACCCTCTAGCTAAGATACTCTGCCTCATCCTGGCTATCTTCTCTAATCTAGCCAGTGGTTCTCCACACTGGGAGAGCAGTATGAAAGTGTACAAGTGTACAGGTGTGTTCCACCCTTATCTTTTCGCCACATAACCATTTTTTTTTATATCCACCATCTTTTTTTAAAATTTCGACTGTAACACCAAGACTGCTAAGCTTTACTTGAGGAAATTATACTTATTACTGAACTAATGCCATGGTAAGATTTATAGTCTTTAATCTGAACTGGGCCCTCAACACCACCTAACACTTGTACTTGTTCTTAGCCCTCTCCACTATCCCTCAGTGCTTATTCCAAATCTTCATGTGTCCCTGAGTCCTCTGCCTCAAGAGAAGCTCAACATCCTCACACTTTAAAGAAAACAAAAACTTTGAGGTGTTCATCTATAAACTTATCTGTATCTCTTGATTACCTATTTCTCCAAGATACAACTTTCTCTTATCCATTCCCTGTTATGTCCCACTTCTTCAACTACCTGGAAAGAATGTGTTCCTCGATATCCATCTGACTAATAACCTTTACTGACTCCAAAAATCAACTCACTCTCCATCTCCTAGAAGAGAATCTCCTGATCTTTATCCTCCTCTCTAGCTCTGGGATTAGAGAGAGTTGTCTGCCCTCTGTGCTGTGCTAAGTCACTTTAGTCATGTCCAACTGTTTGTGACCCCATGGACTGTAGCCCACTAGGCTTCTCTGTCCTTGAGATTCTCCAGGCAGGGATACTAGAGTGGGTTACCATGCCCTCCTCCAGGGGATCTTCCCAACCCAGGGATTGAACCCAGTCTCCTGCACTGCAGGCGGATTCTTTACCACTAATGTCACCTGGGAAGCCCATCTGCCTCTCTATTAGGCTTTTACTGCAGCCTGTCTGTATATCCAAGAACACATATAACAGAATACAAGAACGATGGCAAATTCATTTCTCTTACTGAACATATAAATCAAGAGTTGAATGAGTATTTCTAAATTTTATTGTTAGCACAGTGAGTTATAAGACCTTACCTTTAAGGACAAAAAATGATATGTAAAATAATTTTTAAAGCAATACTTTAAAAAAAAGTAAGACACTCACTGCTTAAGAAAAATAAGACCCTGCTTGCAAAAGAAGTTAGTTCAATAGTATGTCTACAATAATGTGATAAAAACTTAATATTTAAAAACACTTTCAAAGTAAAGTTACTTTGTCTGTATTATCTCCTTTCTTTATTTCTTCAGATGGTCTAGATTTAAGTGATACAGCATAATCCACTCCTTGTTCCAATGTTTTAGAAACACCAGGTTTTTCTGTAGACCTTGTCATTTGCAGTGGTGGTTTAATTCTTCTTTTTCGTGGTGTTGCTAAAATGGAGGATAAAGGAATTATATTTGTTGGATTTTAAAACTGTATGTTGCTATCACTGAGATACTTTTTGCTGAAGAAAGTTAAAAAGGGGGATCTTCTAGGATGGGTCCCAGGTTTCTGATTTAGATGATTAACTCAATATGGATTCCATTTACCAAGGTAAGAAATGGAGAGAAACTGGCAGGGAGGGTGGAAAGATGAATTTACTTTGTACTTGTTAAGTCTGAGAAGTATGTGAAACATTAATTTCCCAGTAGGCAAGCAGATTTTGGGAACAGAAGGTCACTATTAAATTGTCATAAAGATTAAATAATGCTGTGTTTACAGCAACTAGTATATAGCATTATTTTTGAACTTTTATTTAGCTCTTGGTATGTACTAGGCACTGTCTAAATGTTGCACAATACTTCTTGTTTAACAAATAATTATTTAATCCTTTAAACAATTTGATGAGGTTAGACACTTTAGTCCCATTTCATAGAATGGAAACTGGTTCTAAACTTTTTCACAGAAGACATCTGTGGTTCATATTCTATCAATTTTTCTATCTCAAAATTATCCTGTAGGTAAATTAGGTCCAGAATATTCCTAAATTTTAAAAATGCCTACTTTAAATAATACTTGTTAGAAATCTTTTAAGATTATAAAACTTACATGTATTGACTAAAAGTATTGGACTTCTCACAGTGTATCTATCTGCACCAGGAACAATCATTGATGCTTCTGACATTTTTCTTTTGCTAGGAGTAATTATCTTAAACCATGAGGAAAAAAACACAGTAAATACACATTCTCTCTTGAAATTAAATACCCTAAAATTTTATTCATAACATTTTACCTTGACTACACACAAAAGATATATTTTATAAATAATATGATATTCAAGTATTTCTGTATTTTAGCCTGATTTGAAGGATTTTATCCTAATAGTCAAAATGAGAATATTGTTTTAAAGAATATCCAGACTTAGAAATACAGTAACTTTTTATTTTTGCTAAAAATATTTTATTGATACTCAGTTTATCTAGTTAACCACTGGCTCACAGTTTCCTATTCTATTTTATAAGGACAATGTTTGGAACACATACTTATGTAAACTTGTTTGTGAAAGCCTTCATAATGTTAAACATTCTTCAAAATTCTGTGAAGACTAAACTGCCTTTAGAGTAAAAAGCAGCTAAAAAATACATGAGTTAAAAAAAAAAAATAACAACAGGAATTCAGAGATTCAGTGGCACACAAGCTAGCGTTCCAAAAAGGTTTGTATTTTCTAACTTTAGACTAGAATGACTGATAAGAACAACAGAAGTAGATAAGCAGAGGTGGGACTACAAGGGATTGGCATTCCAGAAGATGTCATACAAAGGAGTACTGATGACAAACTGTAGAGAGGCAGAAGACAGTTATTTTTAAAAAGGCACACGAAAAATTACTGGTGGAATTTTGAGTAGGTATGTATATGGGACATGGAGGAAAGGTGAGGAAGGATAGGAGAAAAGTGAATTTTAAGATTAACCAGAAAATAAGCTACTGAACCAGCAGATTTGTCTTAATATACAGTTCCTACTGTTATATATAATGAATGGGATCCCAAAAGTTACTTATTTATATAAATAAGTGTAAGTATATTTATATATAAAATTTTATATATTTATATATTTCAATAAGGCTAATCCTTATTGAAAACATAGTAGGTATTTAACAACAGTGCAATGTTTTTCAAACTTTAGTGTGCTTAAGAACTTTTACAGACTTTGTGTAATGATTCAACGGTTTTAAGGTGGAGAGTCTAAGAATCTGCATTTTAAATAAGTACTCAAGTTATGGTTCAGATAAAAGGCCCCCAAAAAAGGCTTTATAGTCTAATCATCTGATGGAACTATAGTTGACAAAATGATATTTTTAATTTAATGAAGGACACAGATAAAAGGGATAAATAGTAACATAATGTATGGAGGAGCCTATTAGAGTTATAGGCAAGATGAGGGATTAGTAAAAACAATTAATCAGTAAAAGCTCCATCAAGAAAGTAAAAATGATCAAAGATTTACAAATTTAAGTACACTTTAGACAAGAAGAGGTAAAAACAGCATGAATGAAGGTACAGAGGCAAGAATGAGTGTGACAAAAAAGACAGAGTAAAGCAACTGACCATATTAAAGTGGAGGGTATTTTGAAAGAGTAAAATTAAATTACAGAAGGTCTTCAAACTAAGTCAAAATTTAGATATAATGGGATAAACACAGAGATCACAAGGCTTTCTGAGCAGAAGAATGCTACAAGGATATTGGTATGAGAAAAATCAGTTGTATACTTCACAGGGAAGCTCACAGGATGGACCAATAATGTCAAAGACACTACTAGGTATGCTAAAATGAGTAACAGTGAAGAGAATGAGGAGGAAACCATGTGAGAAATATTATAAAAGAATAATCACTGGCACCTTGGTTCTAGGTATAGGGTGAGAGGAAGCTGGAATCAAGGACATCATCAGAAAAATTAGTAGCAATCTTACTGAAGCCTGGAGGCAGATGCAAATTTGAGGCAAAAGATGAGAGTCTGAGGTTAGACTTTAGGGAAGGGCTGAGAAATGGTTCTATCAAATGTGGCCTAGAGGAGATCCTTTATGGAGCAGGAAAAAGAACCTAATATTTTGCTGTTTTCCTCATGCAAATAAACTGAACATTACATTATAAATTTGTATTCTACATTAAAGCCAAGTGCAAAGATAGGACAGAAAGGATAAATGCCAAAAGTAGTTACTTTCCTAATCTCTAATTTGAAACTTACATGGATATAATATAGTGAAGTGAAGTGAAGTCACTCAGTTGTGTCCGACTCTTTGTGACCCCATGGATTGTAGCTTACCAGGCTCCTCCGTCCATGGGATTTCCCAGGCAAGAATACTGGAGTGGGTTGCCATTTCCTTCTCCAGAGGATCTTCCCCACCCAGGGATCGAACCCAGATCCGCATTGTAGGCAGACGCTTTACCGGTAATCTGAGCCACCAGGGAACTCACCTGGATATAGTATACTCTGTCCTAAACCCCTAACCCTTGCATATAAACAGTGTGCTGAAACACTATCTTTTGTTTGTATTTGTAAAAGGCAGGGGAAATACTCTAAAATGTTACTGACATTTGAATTCTAGATACATTTTTCTATAACAATGATTTGCCTATGCTGCTTTATAAATGATGGTTTTGACACCATATATACCTCAGGCTGGCTATTTTTTCTATCCCTTTGATTACTGTTTTTGATATATTTTGAAGGTTTAGTAAATTCCTCTTGGAGGTTAGCTTTTTCTTTCAAACTATTATGTTCTTCTTCAACTGGTGAGATTTGACTTTCTGGGACTAGAATCTGTTGGAGAATAAGGAAAAAGTGTTTAAAAGTGCAAATCATAGGAAGTCCTCAAAAATGACTGGATGTCTTCATAAAGCACTCATTCATCTCACACTCATAAAGGTTAGTTCTTTCTGTCTTATATCTATGTACTATTACAATTTTCAATCCTACAAAGTGACCCAACAAAAAGCATCCACTTTTTCAAATGTTAACAGACATAAAAGAGGCTCTGGCATTAGTGGCAGAACATATATTTCTGATTTTTAAAGTTACCAAGACTGGTATTAATGAATAACCATCTACCTTCTGTACTGAAATAAATTATTATTAATAACATGTTTACAAAGTCACATATACCTTGTTGGGGCACTGAGAGAATTTATTCATTCTCCAAGACAAACTTATAACTGTGCTATTATTCTTTAGGGTTAAACTTAGCCCAGTGATAGAAATCAAGTAAGTGAGACACATACCTGTGATCCACTTGCATCAAAAAGGATATGCACAGATGTTTTGGCAACGGATATACCTTGTTTTCTGGTAAATTCCTAAAATTAAATTGATTCAACGGGGTGTCATTTTCTCCCAGTTCTTTCCATTTTTAATGCAAATATTTCCTATACCTGCTTCTTTCCAAATCACCAAATTATCAAATCAATTTTAAATACATATAAATACTCTTCTCAGGACACTTCAGTGACTCTCTAACTACAGTCTTAGCCTACAATTTTGGTAAAGGTTCCTCACAAGCATATTATCTGCTATTTTTCACCATAAATCTTTTCCATGTTAGACTTAATGTGTTTCCTCACAATTCCCATGTTGAAACCTAGTCCCCAAGAACGGTATTAGGAGGGCAGGCTTTTGGATCATTCTTAGGTCATAAGGCAGAACCTTTATGAATAGGATTACTGCCCTTATAAAAGAGACCTCAGAGAACTCCCTCACCATGTAAGGACACATTGAAAAGACTGCTATTGATAAACCAGAAAATGGGCACTCCCCATACACTGAATCTGCTTGCTAGCACCCTGATCTGACTTCTGGCCTCCAGAACTATGAGAAATAAATGTTTCTTATTTAAGACACCAAACCATGGTATTTTTGTTACAGTAGCCTGAACAAACTAAGACAGGCATCACCTAAACTTGTCAACTGAACGTCTCCCTAAATAAATCTGATTCATTATGTCTTCCACAATCCTGGAAAACATCTAAATTTCATTCATTTCAAAGGCCATTTCAAGGTCCAACTCCATAGCCTTTCCTTCAGATCTGACTCTTAATGAGCATTCTCTTTCTTCAACTTCTATGCATCATTTTCTATATGCCACTTACTTCTTCTGAGACATATTCTGTAATTCTTACAATGTTTAGTACTTTAATAACAAGACTTTGTCTCATTTCATTTTTTAAACACCTGGAAGGAATTCATCATTAAATATTTTGAGTAGCTGCTGCTAATTTTGTTATCTGAGATTCATTCTAATAGATATCTGAAAGGGTACGGCTGATAATATGATGGTCATTCCACAACACAAATTTAAAGAACTAAAAATCTATATGTTATTTAAGAATTATAGAGGAAAAAAAAAATCACTGAAACTTACAGTCCCAAGTAACTGAAAGTTTCCAGAATTATGAAAATATTTAAAAGTTTAACTTACCCTATATTTATTTCCACCAAAAATTTTTTGTGCCACATTAGTGATTTCTAATGATGCATCAAAATACAAAAACAATTCTTTCCCTTCTCTTTTACTAATTTTTACTATATTTTTCAGAATTATAGTCAGTAGCTTCTTCGATTCTCTCACTGTACACAAATAAATCACACTGATTAGTTTATATTCATTTCTATGATACCACTCTATAGGTATATTATAAATAAGAAAAGCATGCAGCATACCAATTAAAATGAACTGAAACAAAATTAACCTTTAGGATTTAACAGTATTGAGTCAATTCTGGTACTAACTACTTATGGAAACAAAAATTATCCATGGAGTCTTTTATATATTCCTGTAAATTGAACAAAGGGTCTAACAACACGCTGTGAAGCTGCTACTTCACCATTCCCCTAGTCTGCAACTGTAGAGATCAAATTGCCAACATCCTCTGGATCATAGGAAAAGCAAGAGAATTCCAGAAAACATTTACTTCTGCTTCACTGACTATGCTATAACCTTTGACTGTATGGATCACAACAAACTGTCGGAAATTCTTAAAGAGATGGGAATACCAGACCACCTTTACCTGCTTCCTGAGAAATCTGTATGCAGGTCAAGAAGCAACAGTTAGAACCAGACATGGAACAACTGACTGGTTCCAAATAGGAAAAGGAGTATGTCAAGGCTGTATATTGTCACTCTGCTTATTTAACTTACATGCAGAGTACATTATACGAAATGCTGGGATGGATGAAGCATAAGCTGGAATCAAGATTGTTGGGAGAAATACCAATAACCTCAGATACGCAGATGATACCACCCTTCTGGCAGAAAGTGAAAAGAAACTAAACAGCCTCTTGATGAAGGTGAAAGCAGAGTGAAAAAGCTGGCTTAAAACTCATTCAAAAAACTAAGATCATGGCATCCAATCCCATCACTTCATGATAAACAGATGGGGAAACAATGGAAATAGTGACAGACTTTATTTTCTTGGGCTCCAAAATCACTGCTGACAGTGACTGCAGCCATGAAACTAAAAGATGCTTGCTCCTTAGAAAAGAAAAACTATGACCAACCTAGACAGCATATTAAAAAGCAGATACATCAGTTTGCCAACCAAGGTTTGTATAGTCAAAGCTATGGTTTTTCTAGTAGTCATGTAAGATGTAAGAGTTGGACCATAAAGAAGGCTGAGTACCTGAGAATTGATAATTTAGAACTGTGATGCTGTAGAAGACTCTTGAGAGTCCCTTGGACTGCAAGGAGATCCAACCAGTCAATCCTAAAGGAAATCAACCCTGAATATTCTTTGGAAGGACCGATGCTGAAGCTCCAATAGCTTGGCCACCTGATGTGAAGAGCTAACTCATTGGCAAAGACTCTGATGCTGGGAAATATTCAAGGGAGGAGAAGAGGGTGTCAGAAGATTAGATGGGTGGATAGCATCACTGACTCAGTGGACATGAGTTTGAGCAAGCTGTGAGAGATGATGAAGTACAGGAAAGCCTGGTGTGCTGCAGTCCATGGAGTCGCAAAGAGTCAGATGTGACTGAGAAACTGAAGTTAATTGAACTGACTGCTTGATATCCAGAATCCATCTGTGCCAGTTATGTAGAAACTCAGATCATGCTTATTCCACACAGGTAGACAACATCACCACTTTATTACAAATGATAGTAAAGATACAAATGAACAGTCAGATGAACAGAGAGAGTGCAAGGTCTGGAAGAGTCCTGAGCACAAGCCATACTTCCCTTGTGTGTGTGCCACAAAGGGTTAGTTTAAGGACTAAAGCATGTATATTGGTGTTTTGTTGCAAAAGAGTCATGTCCGACTCTCTTGCAACCCTATGGAGAGTAGCCTGCAAGGTTCCTCTGTCCATGGGATTTCTTAGACAAGAAGACTAGCATGAGTTGCCATTTCCTTCTCCAGGGGATCTTCCTGACACAGGGATTGAACCCGTGTCTCCAGCATTGGCAGGTGGATTCTTCACTGAGCCACCAGGGAAGCAGGAAGCATGGACAAAAGCAAACGTGTTAAGTCACTGAGTTGTGTCCCACTCTTTGCGACCCCATGGACTATAGTTTACCAGTCTCCTCTGTCCATGGAACTCTCTAGGCCAGAATATTGGAGTGGGTAGCCATTCCTTTCTCCAGGGGACCTTGCTGACCCAGGGATTGAACCCAGGTCTCCTGGGTTACAGGTAGATTCTTTACTGTCTGAGCTACCAGGGAAGCCCGTGGAAGTATATATAATGATATTAATAATAAGAGTTAATTGTCATCTTGACATCTGAAATTTCAGTGGAAATTTTGGTGGAATGGGATGTAAAACAGGATGTAGAAAAAAATAGAAATGAAAAGCAAGAGAAGGAAAGATTTAGTAAAAACTGTTTTCTCAAAATTGGCTATGAATGGAAAAGTAATGAGACGGAAGACGACACAGGATTCAAGTAGACTTTTTAAGATACAGTGACAAACGTACCCTAAAAAAGTATGATGTTAAAACTACAGAAGAAGACCTTATGTTAAGTGAAATAAGCCAGTCACAAAAAGACATACTGTATGATTCCACTTAAAATAGTCAATTTCATAGAAACAAAAAGTAGAATGGTGGTTACAGGGACTGGGTGGAAATGGGAAAGGAGAACTGTTTAATGACTATAGAGTTTCAACTGCTCAAGATAAGAAGAGTTCTGAAGATTTGTTTCACAATAATGTGAATGTACTTAACACTACTGAACCATACATTTAAAAATGCTTAAGATGGTAAATTTTATGTTGTGTAATTTTTACCACAATAAAAAAATAAGAGAAATTGGCTGAGGATGTATATGGAAACTTTCTAAACTAGTTTGGAAAGTTTTTTGTAATCTAAAACTATTCTAAAACTAAGAATTTATCTTTAAAAAAGACCTAAATCAAACTTTCAGAGATGAAAACTATAATGCCTGATATAAACATTATACAGAGTAATATTAGATGGTTAGACACTGCAGAAAAATATTAATTAGCACAATAAAACACAGCAATATAAAACTACCTAAATGGAAAAAAGAGTGGAAATAAAAGCCTGGGGTTTGGAGGGAGAACCCAAAGAATCAGTGAGCTGTGGGAGAACTTCATGTAGTTTAGTCTGTGTGTAGTCAGAACCTTCAAAGGAGAGGAGAAAAAGGAGGAGAAAAAAATAATGTGAAGAGCAATGGATAAAAACTTCAGAAGCAAGGAAGCTCAATGAACTCTAATAATGAACAATGTGAAGAAAATTACACTAAAGCACTATAATCAGATGTTTATAACTACTAATAAAGAGAAGATCTTAAAAGCAGCCAGGGGAAAAAAAAGACTTTTAACAAAAAAGAACAAACATGAGAATGACAGACTTCTCATCAGAAACAATGCAAGCCAAGAGACAGGAGAACAACATCTTTAAAGTAAACTGAAACAAAAACAATAGGCAATCTAGAATTCTGTATAAGTATCAAAAATACTGCTCAGGACTTTCCTGGTGGCCCAATGGTTAAGAATCCACCGCTTTAAAAAAAAAAAGAATCCATCTGCAACTTCACAGGTGAACTCTATCAAACATTTAGAGAAGGCTAGTTATTTGACAACATCAAAAAAATTGATATACCTCTCATAAGACTGATTAGGAGAAAAGATAAGCGACAACTTATCAGTATAAGCAGTGATGGGGGACCATCACACAGAAACTGTAGACAGTAAATGATAAAAAGGGACCATTATAAACCACTTTATGCCAAAAAATTTGACAACATGGATGAAAACGATTTGAAAGACAGAAATACCAAAGTTTACTCAAGGAAAAAAAAAATAGATAACCTGAAAAACCCTTTATGTATTAAATGATTTGTAGTTAAGAGCCTTCACCAAAGAAAAGCACAAGGACAAGTCCAGATTGCTTCATTGGTAAATACTACCAAGTACTTAAGAAACAATACCAATTCTTCACATACTTTTAGAGGAAACTGAAGATTACACTTGCAAATTCATCCTATGAAGTTCAACAACGCCCTGGTTTTAAAACTTAAAACTACAGATCTTTTAGGACATGAAATACCAAATTTCTAACTAAATTTGACAAATCAGTTACAACGTATCTAAAAGAATAACTATATCACAAAAGTGTAACTACTGTTACAATGTTATTTCTCCTGGTATCAAACTACACACACAGTCAAAATTCTAGCAAGTTTTCTGTAGCAATTGATAGGCCAATTTTAGAATTTACATGGAAATTCAAAGGTCTAGAATTACCAAAACTATCCTCAAAAAAACCCACAATATTAGAAGACTTACACACTATTGACTTTTAAGACTCACTATAGATCTACAGTAACTAAAACAATGTGGTACTGGCATAGGGAACAGATCAATGGAATGAACTACATAGCAAGACCTACACTCAAATCAGTCATTTGATGTTCAACAAGGGAACCAATGAAATCCAGTAAGGAAAGAAAAATCTTTTCATCCATTAGTCCTGGAATAACTGTATACCCATATGGACCTAAATCCCTATATTGAACCATCACCAAATATTAATGAGATGGATCAGAAATCTAAACACAAAAGTTAAAATCATTAAGTTCTTATGGAAAAACAGAAGGATATCTATGCCACTTGGTAGTAGGCAAAAACTTCTTAGGTTACACAAAGCAATAACTATGTAACAAAAAATACTGATCACGTGGACTTCAAATTTAACAACTTCTGCTCATTAAAAGAGACCACTGAGAAAATGAATAAGCAAGATACAGACAGGGAGAAAATACTCATACAACATATATTTGTCAAAGGATTCTTATCCAAGATACATAAGAACTCAAAACCTTAATAATAAAAAGATAGTCCAGTAAAGCAATGCAGTCCAGTAAAGAAATGCACAAAATATTTAAACAGATACTTCACAAAAAAAATATGTGAATGGCCACTAAGCACATGAAAAAGTGCTCAACTTTCCTAAAAGTGGTTTTAGGAAAATACAAATAAAAACTATCATGAGACAGCACTGCTGCTATTGCTAAGTCACTTCATTCGTGTCCGACTCTGTGCGACCCTGTCCCTGGGATTCTCCAGGCAAGAGCACTGGAGTGGGTTGCCATTTCCTTCTCCAATGCATAAAAGTGAAAGTGAAGTCGCTCAGCCATATCCGACTCTTCGCAACCCCATGGACTGCAGCCTACCAGGCTCCTCCGTCCATGGGATTTCCCAGGCAAGAGTACTGAAGTGGGGTGCCATTGCCTTCTCCGTGAGATAGCACTACATTCCTACTGAAATAAATAATGTCTTGATATCTGAATTTGCAGTGGTGCCAGTCTGCCAAGGTAAATGATTTCTGTCCAGTACATATTGAGAAGAAAGTAACTGATCATAGGTTTTAGATTAGATAAGAAAGGAAATAAATACAAGATGTTGGGGGTAACACAGGGTCAGGGAATTTGATGATAGTGAACCATCACATTTATGAATGTGAACATATGAAAATGTTGATCTGCTTTTATCAGTCTACTGAGTTTTTCCATACAGTATGCAACGTCTACTCCAACAGAAATGATAGAAAACAAGTCTAATACCTTCAATGCTGTATATCTGCACTTTTTCTTCAGGCACAGTGACTGCTTCCCACTGATGATCCTTAAATTTAAAAACACGTTTAGATCATAAATAATTTAATCTTGCTTTAAAGCTCCTTTAAACACTATCTTCAAGTTATACAAACAATAAAGGTTATTTTTTTTAAACAAACTATCACTAAGTAACTGGTTGATATATCACATTTCTTGTTCCATCAATTGACTACATAATATATTATACTTGTCACATTTAATCTATTTATTCATTCTTAAAAGTGACAGTATTGATTACTTTAATGGTTTTCTATTCTTAATCAAAAAAAGAATGACTATCCATTCATATGAGGCTATAACCTTTTTAAAAAAATATTACCAAATCCTGTCATCTCTTCCTCTGAAACATTTTGTTAAATCATATTCATCCCCCAACCCCCCACTCATTAATTGATTATCCTTAGATTCAAACACTGAATGCATGTGAATAATAACCTAAAATGTTTTCCAAGTATTTTCACGGAAAATTTGTATAAATGAATAAATAATGTGAATTCACACAAAAAAGTTATAGTAAAAATTAAAACCTTTCCAAAAATATGATATCCTAAAACCTTCCAGTAATCTTATGATGAAAATAGATCCAATTCATTTGCTATTTAAAGACTATTAAAATTCCGCTAAATCCTCAGTCTCTTCACTAACTCCCTCCACTTAGTTGCCTTAATTGAAACCAGTGTATATCCTGAGAGAACCAGTACCATTTAACTACAGCCTTCTCCAGTCAAGGTGCTAATTCTCCCAGACCTCAAAACCTCAGGGTCAGGAGGAAAAGGTTGGTATCCTCCTTTCTCCTTTAAGCATCTTCCTATTTCTCTGTGTATAACACCTACTCATCATCATCTGCTAACTTTAAAGAGACTCTTCCTCATATAGATAGGTACTTGGTTCAAAGCTTTCCTTTTGGGAAAAAAAAAAAGTCTACATTATATAAATTTTCAAAAAGATTTTAAAAAATAGAAATCATTATAATGAGTCCAAAATATGCCCTTGCCCAGGTTCAACAGTTTACCAGTATATTGCGCCCACCAATTTCATCTTCACCCCCTACTTTCCCTTCATTATGCTCTCTTCTTCTTGATCTCAACTTTTATATTCATTGTTACTCTAGCCATCAGTTTTGAGAGGGTGTGGAGAAAAGGGAACCCTCTTACACTGTTGGTGGGAATGCAAATTAGTACAGCTACTATGGAAAACAGTGTGGAGATTTCTTAAAAAGCTGGAAATAGAACTGCCATATGACCCAGCAATCCCACTTCTGGGCATACACACCAAGGAAACCAGATCTGAAAGAGACACGTGCACCCCAATGTTCATCGCAGCACTGTTTATAATAGCCAGGACATGGAAGCAACCCAGATGCCCATCAGCAGATGAATGGATGAGGAAGCTGTGGTACATATACACCATGGAATATTACTCAGCTATTAAAAAGAATTCATTTGAATCAGTTCTAATGAGATGGATGAAACTGGAGCCCATTATACAGAGCGAAGTAAGCCAGAAAGATAAAGACCATTACAGTATACTAACACATATATATGGACTTTAGAAAGATGGTAACGATAACCCTATATGCAAAACAGAAAAAGAGACTCAGATGTATAGATCAGACTTGTGGACTCTGGGAGAAGGCGAGGGTGGGATGTTTCAAGAGAACAGTATTGAAACATGTATATTATCTAGGGTGAAACAGATCACCAGCCCAGGTTGGGTGCATGAGACAAGTGCTCGGGCCTGGTGCACTGGGAAGACCCAGAGGGATCGGGTGGAAAGGGAGGTGGGAGGGGGGACTGGGATGGGGAATACATGTAAATCCATGGCTAATTCATTTCAATGTATGACAAAAACTACTGTAATGATGTAAAGTAATTAGCCTAAAAATATATATATAAATAAATAAATAAATAAAACACTCATCCTTAAAATAAAGTACCTAACAAAAACCTCTCCCTTGAATCTACATCTCACTTTAGCTTCTACTGTGTTCTCTTCTCCTTGTCTTTACTTCCTCCACAAATATTTCAACTTTCCAGGAATGCTGAAATCCTATGGCTTAAACAAAATTGCTCTTTCTTAGATGACCGGTTTTTATTTAACTGTGTTTTGACCGAGTTGATCATTTCCTCACAAAACACCCTTCCTTTGCCTTCTGTAACATGATACCCTTTTAATTTGATCATTTTTGGCAGATTTGTCAAGCATCCTTCAGGCTAGTCTCTTCTGCCTATTCTGTATACATTTGTATATTCATGTATACATCTGCCTATCCATGTATACATTTCTTATGATTTTGTCATCTAGACACTCACAGAATCCCATGGTTTTATTTATCTTCTGTATACAGAGAGCTTCTGAATTTCCACATATAGCTCAGTTCTCCCATCTGAACTTCAGACCAATATATTCAACTGCCTACAAGTCGTCTTCAGCTGAATGCCCCACAAGCACCTCCAATCAAAACATTCAAAGCTGAATCATCATCTTTCCCCTACAAAATTGATCCTCTTAAAACAGCATCCCCATCCATTCAGTTACCAAAGTTTTATTAATCCTTCCTCTTTTTACTACAAATTACCAAATCTGCTCAATTCTACCTCAAGTTTTTCTGAAACCCATCCATTTCCATCCATCCCCACCACCACTTTCCAAAACTGTGCCACCATAATTCCTCTCACCTGGATTACTGCTTAAGTCTAACTGCTTCTGGTCTTGTCCCTTTTTACTCTCTTCCCCCCAACCAGGAGAATCTTTTACATGAATGAGATGCTCAACACCTAGTATATATCTGGCACACAGTAAGTTCTTATTAAATGTTTATTGAACTGATGTTGTCTCCTACTTATAATCTTTCTTTAGCTCTACACTGCCTGCCTTCTTTCCAATCTCCTTTGAATTCTATCACTAACACAGCATTTTTCAGTTGAGTGTTGTATTTATTCATTCTTAAATATGAGCCCTTGAACAGCTATAAATGAGAGAAGATGGGTCCCTGATTTAATAAAGCTTACATTCTATGGCGGGGGTGGGGGATAGACCAAAAAAAAACAACAGATAAAAGGATTTTAAGTAGCAATAACTACTACAAAAGAAAAAAGAGGACAATGTGATATAATATGGCTGGATAGCTACTTCAGACTATCTAAATGGGATGCAAAGATCCTGAGGTTCCTAGGCAGCAAGGATAAAGACCTGAAGAGGTATTTAGAGGAAAAGAAAAAAATGAATGGGGGTTGAGCACGGTAAGCATGGAGAAGGGTCTGAGATTATCAGAGAAACAGTGAGGGCCCAGGTCATAAAGGCCCTCGAATACCATGTTAAATAGACACAGGGAGGGTTTCAAGCAGCCACAATAGGGGAGAGGCTTTGAGGACAGTGAGAGAGAACACAGGGAGAATGCACTACTGCCACAGAAATCCAGAGAGGAAAGGAGAGTCTAAATATATCTGTGGGAAGAACTTTCTCCCAGGCTCTCTAGATCAGTGTCTGGAACACATGAGGCATTTAGTACTTGTAAATGCATTTTATACTATCCCTATCATGTATAATACTAAAATTACTTATTTTCTTCCCTGAATCATCCATTAGACCAAGCAAGTGAAGTCAGGAACCACTCCAGTCCTATTCTATCCTCTTCTCCGAAAATGAAAGTCTACTTCCTAAAGAAAACCCAGTTAAAAATGCTCCTATAAAGCCTGCAAGAATAAATACACTAATGAAAACTGTCAGTACCTGTGAGAAGTAGTGCTAGGTTTTGGAACTCATTAGTAAGCATTCTAAGAAGGTACTCTAAAAAGAAATAAAGATATGTGAAATTCCTAAGAGGCATCTGGTTAATGTTTGTCTATAAAAAGTTTACCTGGACAAAAAGCATTATTATTATTATCAGCAATCACAATCAGATCAGTAAACTGCAGACAAACTCTTACTCAGATTTCTGCTCTACAGTTTGAGCTAGAAGTACACCATGTAGCAAATAGTTAAGTGGTGGCTATTTGGAAACAATGGCTCAAGAATTTCCCTCAGGTTCAAAACCGGTCAGTAGAAAACACACCACCTGGTTGGAAAGTTTAGGCATAGCTACAATTTAGCACAGAAAAGAACTAAAATTCACTTCTAAAGAAGACCATAAAAATCAATTCCTCAATATTTTCAAATAGAAGATGCTATGAAAGAATAAAATAAGACCATTTGTCATTGTTTGTTAATGCTATTTTTAACTGTTTCTGTACTTGAGTAACTGTTGTCTTTTCTAGATTCAACTCACTTTATGTTAAATTTTATCATTAACGTGTAATTTCTGAAAAGCTTGTATTTAAAAACTAGTATTAAATTTTAGCTTTGTTCTATTGCTATAAAACATCAGAAATAATTTTCATTTCTAATTAGCTTGATAGGTTACCATGCTTATCAAAATTATTAGAGCTAACACTGAAATCTATTCAGAGAGAAAATAAATATACAAAGAAATCCATATTCTTAAAGTGAATTATGATATTATATACATATCTACACACACAACTCAAAATGATAGAGGGAATAACACTTACATCATTGTCTCCAGCAACGTAGAATGAGAGAGTCTGGCTCCCAAGATTAAAATCTATCCAAAACTCCTCAAGTTTTTCATCTGATGGTATTTGCAGCTAATAAAATAAACATATAAAACTAGAACATACTATGGTTTTAAAAGTGACAACAGAAAATTATGACATATTATAATTATGCTATATATAAATGTAAAATTATGATATATTCATGGTTGAGTTTTTTGAAAAAAAGAAAAAAGTACAGCTGGAAGGTGTAAGAAGATAAAGAGAAGGCAAGTATAGCATTTATATCAATTTAGAAACAATAAAAAAAAAGCTGCTTACTATTTTACACATAAATTAGCCAGCTCCAAAAAATCACAAATAGTTAAGTACAAATAAAGGTTGAAGATAATTTCACATTTGAATATATTCACGAATAATAAACAATAATGGGCTTGATTAAGGAAACAAGATAATTTGAAGTACAGCTTTATATTTTACTTATCCTTGGCAACAAATATGTCATTTCATAAAATGTCACTTAGATCTAGAATATCAGACCAGCTGTTATTTGTGATCTAATTATGACCAATATTAATGTTCCTGTCAATTTGCAGCCTATAATTCAGTTGACCTCTACATCAAAAATGTATAACAAAAACTACTGTAATGATGTAAAGTAATTAGCCTCCAACTAATAAAAATTAAAAAAAAAAAAAAAAAAAGTAGAAACTAGTATGATAGGCATAACACCCCATCTCATTATTGTTTTAACTGGCATTTCATTACTTGTTAATGTGAACATTTTCCCATATGTTTGTTGGATATTTATGTATATATATCTACGCATGTAGCTTAATATATATCTCAATATAAATATATACTATTTTGAATATTTTTTATTTGTGCCTTTGCTTTCTTTTCTATTGCAATGATTATCTCCATATTGGTTTATATGAACTCTTTATATATTAAGACACCATCCTTTTGTCCCATGTGTTTCCAACTTTATCATTTTCCAGTGTATGTGCCTTTTAGATTTGTTTCTTATATGGAAAATTGAAAAAATATATTTAAAAATGTATTAAAAATAAAAAAAATATAGTTGAATCTTCATCTTTTAAAAAAAAAAAAAAAAAACTCCTCCAATTTTGTAGTTCGGGGAGACCCTGCTTTGGGAAAGATCCTTGGTGTTCTCCTTACTTGGTGCAAGTAATAATAAATCCTTAATTCTCAAAAAAAAAAAAAAAAAATCACCTAATAACTAAAATATGTATTAAAATTTAAAATTTACCTCATATTTATCAAGAAATGCTGACAAACAAGGAAATGTAAAGACCCTGAAAGAAAAAGTAGTTTGAGTTAAAAAAAATTAATAAGCCTCCACAGCATAATTTTGACTTGCCATACAAATCACACCTAGGATCAAAAGGAAATCAGGCGGTAGTGACGATTTAAATAAAATTGTTGTTTCCTTCTTTATTACTCTTTAAAGTGAGAATTTAGTGGAAATCTGTTTCTGAAAGAAAGCTTATTATTTTGAGGCTATTCAACCTACCATTTTGACTAAAGTTAACTGTATCAAACTACTCTTCATGTTATTGACTATGAGCAGAGATTCCCAATATAGCTTATAGTAATATAATGGAAGTTTTCCTACAGAATTAGATAGGAAGAGTAGAAGTGAATAATACTGCTAATAAAAATGGCAGAATTCACTGAATACTTTCTTGGTCAATTACTATTGTAAGGACTTACACAGCTATCTCATTTAATCTTCGCAACAAACATGGGGTAGATATTATTGTGGGCTTCCCTGATGGTTCAGATGGTAAAGAATCTGCCTGCAATGCAGGAGATGTGGGTTTTATCCCTGGGTTGGGAATATATTATTAGTATTCTTATCTTATAGCTATGGAAACTGAGGCAAGTGAGGTTAAACAACTTTTCCAACATTACAACAGAAAGAGGGGAACCTACTATTCAAATGCAAATAGTATGACTCCTTGCACTTAACCTTCACCCTATCTTTTCTCCGTATTTGGTAAACTCAATGAGAATTGATTCATCCAATGTGTGCTGAGCATTTATAAGGTGCCAGGCACTGCACAGCAAAAATACTTCCTAAGTCATTGTCAAAAGTGATAAAAATTTGTATTACCTAGACCATTCTTGAGATTTAATAACCTAAGAACATCCTTACAATGTTAATTACAAAAGAAAATGATTTATATTTGCTATACATTTTTATTCCAGTATATGGATAGAGGTAGCTCAAGTAATATTTATATTTAGACTATTATTATTCCTTAAACGCCAAATTTAAAATGCATATGCAATTCTGAAATACTGTAAACAAATCTTAGAAAAAATTAATTCATGTTAATTAAAAATATATTTTTCCTCCAAAAAGTACAAAGTAAAATAAGACCAGTGGAGGATTATTTCAGACTAACGCTGTGTGCTCCCCTCTTGAGCTCTATTTTTTACAATTAAATGGTTGTATTTTGCATTAAATTTACCTTCTCTTGTCTCCAAGCATGCCATTTACAAGGTTGAGAAATATCCTGCAATCCTAATTTTTAAAAAAGAGAGAGTTTTTAAAAAACACAGTTATTAAAAAAACTTGTTAATTTGTTATTTTATACTACTCACCGTTTCAAATTCAGAGTCTTTAATTCCTTTAAATGCATTAGCAATAAAATCCATTGAGAACCACTGACAAGCCAGTTCTCGTCTTTGTTTTTCTGTGGTCATTCTACATAAAGCTTCGACGATACCCACTTGCAAATCATAATCTTAAAAAAAAAGTTAATTATTTGAAATTATGAAAATTAAAGTTTATGAAACTCTATATTTCATAAGGTGTTAGAACAAGCAAGAGAAATAAAGAATATAGTGCAATTTACTCATCTTTTGCCATTTTCTTCATATAGATTAGAAATATCCCACCATTACATGGCATGAACACAGTCCAAATAACAAGACAAGTTTGTTAACAGAAAAAAGGAATAAAACAAAAAATTTTACAGACATTTAAAAGAAACTCCTAAATATGCAAAGATACTATCATTCCATTATTATTAGAGCTGTGAATTGCAAAATAACTGACAAGTTTATAAATCATAGGTAATCTTTGTTTTCCTTTTGTATATCACAATGTTTACAGTTATGTTAAAGTACTTGAAGCCACTGGTTTGTTCTATATGTAAATCACTACATCAAAATTTTCTCATATAAACTTAGGAAACAAACTTTCAGTTCTTTTAATAAAGACATCATTTACAAACAAATCAATCCCAAGAATATTAAAACTCCTAATTTCATAAAATATATTTGAGAAATTTCTTAGCAAAAGGAATTAAAATCTACTGGAAAATTAAGTTATTGTTCATAAACCTACTATTAGGCACAAATTATATTTGATGACTCCTGTTATCATACTTCTTTTATTAGTTCCACAGATATTTATCCTTTATTTATTAAGGTAACTAAAAATTGCTTGATTATGAAGTTAATAATTTTTTTCATATAATTTCACATATTATTTTGATTGAAATATTATATTCTATTAATAAATTTGGAATAACTCCAAATATGAACATTTTGAAAAAATATACTTACCTCCAGCATCTAAAATCCTTTCTCCCATGCTACTCCTGTGAATCAAAACAGCAGGTTATATACTGGACAAGTATCAATTAAATAGAAAGTTCATATGTTTAGGGTAAAAATACTTCACTAAAACTTACAATTGGTTAGTATTAGACTGTAGCAGAAAACATACCCATAAACTATACTAGAAACCTATAACAGCTGACCAATTTTAATTACTAATGCAACTTACGGTTGCCTTATTTGCCTTATAAAACATCCTTTAAATTCTTGACTTGAACCACTAATTAAAGCAATATAGTACAGATTATTACATGAGAATTAACATTTGTTGGTTACAGAGTATCTTCCTGGCATCTTGAGGCATTCTGTCAAGCATCACATTCATTTTTTTTAGAGTCTAGAAAAGAAAAAAAGATAATTCATTAACTTTATATATTCAGTGAAACATTAATATGTTTTCAGAGATAGGTACATAAACTTAGAAATCTATTTTTCTTAATCACAGCATTTTATGCAAGGAATGAAGGGTGGAGGAAAGAATATAAAGCATAAAATAGTGAATACAAGAAAACATAAAACAAAGGATATAAAAAATAGACTATACCACGATTCCTATGCTTAAAGCACTCATACTCTGCAGCATGACATGCTCATTATTACTCTATCATAAGAACTAAGGAAGTAAAAAACACCTTATTAATATTTATTCTTATGACTATACACATGAACACATGCATTATCAGTATATACTAATATAAATTATTTTTAGCATGTAAATACTGAGGAATTAATATCTAAATGGTACAGTTTATTTTCATATGAGCTATATTCATACACATAAATTCACATGGCTATAAATGTTCAATATATATTTACATAATATATTCATCATGTCAGGCAATGAATTTCTCCTCCTGAAACCATAAGTTGCATCCAATTCTTGTGCCCCATGGACTACAGCCTGTTAAGAATTCTCTGTCTATGGGATTTTACAGAGCGGTTGCCATTTCCTTCTCCAAGGCAATGAATTAAGACCACAAAAATACACTACATGGTAATTCAGTGCCAAGATAAAATAGTTATTCAATTTGATAAATTGCTACCAAATTGTCTCTACTTTAATTTTTAAAAGAAAAACTAAATAATTGGCTTACCTCCTGCTGAATACAAATATCCACTCTTGAGTCAATAACCAGGGCACAAATTCGAGGCACGAAACTTTCCACTATTTGTCTTTTACCTGAATAAAAGTCAATTATTGATAAATGTGTATTTTAAAGGAGAACCTATTCTTATATGAGTGAATGGAAAGGACTATATTAGAAATGAGTAGTTTTACTAGTAATTATGCTAGTAAATATATACTAGTAAATAAATATACTAGTATATATATATATACTAATAGTATATATATACTAGTAAATATACTAGAAAATACTAGTTCAGTTCAGAAGGCGGCCCGCAGCCTCCCTGGCCACCAGGAAGCATGCCACTAATCAGTTGTGTAACTTTGAAAAAACACACATGTACACCCATGGCTGATTCATGTAAATGTATGGCAAAAACCACTACAATACTGTAATTAGCCTCCAATTAAAATGAATTAAAAAAAAAAAAGAAAAAACATCATTCAACAGATGTGACTGATCTGAAATAACCCCAGATCCAGTTTCTCCTTTTTAGGCATTTAAAGCAGTATAGTGTTTTGGATAAATATAGTTCAAAACTGGAAACTTCTATTTTGAGGTTTTTATAAAAATTGGCCTCAATAATTTATAGTCATGCCTCCAAAATTTCATAATGGTCATTAATACCTCCTCATGAAGATCTATATAACATTACCTATTTCTAAATTTGACCCAAGTCTCTCAAAAGACAAGGCTTTATTAGCACCAATTAAGAGGAATTTGCCCCATGCTAATTCACGACATAATTTTTAAGAAATAATTTTAAATAATGGCAACATAGGAACAGAAAATGCACAATTTCACAGTGACTACATTAAAAGAAGAAAAATTAATCACTGAATTATCTGAAAAGATAAAATGATTTCCTTAAAAAAACTAGTTAGATCACTTCATAATCACTGGTGCTTTAGGACTGTTTTCTCCCCTAAAAAATGAAGAATTTAGACTAGATTGTTATGTTAACTGCAAAAAACAAATGAAAAGGTAGCATTAACTACTACTGAAATAAAGAGCAATCAATATTTTAAAACATTCTGGCTTTGAAGCAGCAAACAGCTGCCCCTTCATTTATTAATATAAAGGATTCACCAGCCTCAATTACCAATCCTAGGTAATTTTTCCCCAACCGACACAGAGATAAAATAACTTGAGTTTATTGTTAGGTACAAGGCACTACCAAACACAAGCTGAGATGATGAATTGTAACATGTTCTATATTCTCCCTGTACTACTAAAAATTTCACTAGATCAAGGACAAACTATGTCCCACAAACCAAATCCAACTCACTGTCCCTTTTTGTATGGCTGTATTCATCAGCAGGTACTCTGTGGAAATATGTGAATCTATGATGTTTTACTGAAATAGTAGTCTCAGGTGAATTTCATTCATTCTTAGGAATTCAGCAATCATTAGACACCTGTGAATGAATGGCTTTGGTAATTAGCTTGGGCTGCAGAGTTGATAAGATTTCTTAATGAATTCAGCCCCCAAATCCAAGGAAAAATAGTGCTTATATGAGATACTTATATTTCAGTAAAGTCATTTCAATGAAACAAAGGTCATCTGAATCACAACAGGCTTTCAAAAACTAAGACAAGAAATGACATCTCTTATTTCCAATAGAAACATAGATGATACACTTTTTACAAGCTCCAACTACAGACCCAGCAGCGTTTTGGGATGCTGACATAAGTGCAAAGGAAACTTTCATATTTCAAAACTGATTTTAACTGTGCAACTGAGGAGTTTCCACCTAACCTTCAACTAAAAGTGATTAATCTGCAATGCAATGTCATTCCAAAAAGTAAACATTAAGAAAAAAGTCTTAGGTGCTCAGTTGTGTCTGACTCTTTGTGACCCCATGAACTGTAGCCCACCAGATTCCTCTGTCCATGGAATTCTCTAGGCAAGAAACTGGAATGGGTTGCCATTTCCTTCTCCAGGGGAGATCTTCCCGACCTAGGGCTTGAACCCGAGTCTCTCATATTGCGGGCAGATTCTTTATCAGATATCTGAACCACCTTGAGCATGACTTTTAATTAAGCATAGTCATCCCTTGGAAAGTATTTATAGAATATTAGACTTTTTCCATATATATATTTATGTATATATATATATATATATGGCAAATATTAAGAAAAAAACCTAATTCTATAAATGTTGCCAAATGATGACTATGCTCAATTAAAATACATATTCATGAACTGATATCAGTATTTGGAATTATCTGCATGAGTCTGAATAGACATGTTCTAATGTAATATATACAAAATCTCATTATAGATGAGCATGAACAAATAAGACTTGCAATCAGTTTTTGCAACAGCAAACACTAACTCTGAACCTTAATTAAGAGACACTGTTATCTTCTCAAAAAAGAATGCTATTCTCCTTATTAGTATTATAAAAACATTGTACTCAATTATCATTATACTTTGAGTTGCATCAATAAAACATTTGTGGAAATGTGTTTTCTTTCTTGTTAAATAAGTACCTGTGTAACAGTCTCAATTTCTTTCTTGGCCCACAAGGCCTAAAATATTTTCTCTCTAATCCTTTACAGAAAATATTTGTAGATCCCTGAATTAGGTAATGAATTACTAATGTTAGGATAACACAAAAAGAGTTGGAAAATTATACCAGAACTTTAATAGCAAATTATTGTTCCAATAGAAATAAAATGTTTATTATACCTTCATCATTGATGTCATGTATGACCTGAGAAGAAAATGAATAATATTTAAAACTTACTTATAATAAAAACCATTAAAAATAGTACTAAAATAGGTTACTTCTGAATTCACCATAAAATTATTTAACTTTTATGTATTAACCAATTAATTAATCAGATAAATGCACTAACCAATCTGTTAATGACTTGATTTCAGGCCTTATAGAACACAAATGTTTTTAAATGAACACATACATGCTTTATAACATCAGTGAATCAATATGGTTGTTACCATCAAAAGATCAAATAAGTCTTCTATCATATTTATAACAGCTTCATCTTTTGAATTTCCCCAACTCAGAATAATCTCCTTGGATTTTTCAAACCAGGCAACCATGTAAAAAAAGGAAATGTATACATTAGTCACTTTGAATTCACTTAATAATTTTAAGAATGTATTTATAGAAACAGTAAACCTAAAAATAAACATTACAAATAAAAATTCCAGTACTGTATCAAAATAAGTTTATGCTCTTAAACATCTTCACTGTTTTTGCTTTTTGGTAACTCACTATATGTTCCCCATTTTTTAGATGGGAATGAAGTTCCAATTCCAAGTAGAAAATCTTTATTACTCTCTTCAAACTCTTAGTTCATGGACATTCATACAATAGATAAAAAGTAAACTATCATTATACATTAGATCATTTTGTCATTGCTACTATTTGAAAAGTTTTGGTATTACTTTATTTTTTATTATTGAACTCAGATTTTGAGTACATGCTATGCCTTAGGGACTGTTCTTGTTGCTGGGAATATAACAAAGAATGAAAAAGACAAAAGTCAATACATGTTAAAATGGGAAACATAATAAACAATATAAAAAGAAAAGTAAAAGTTAGACTATGAGTAAGATGAGCTAGAGAAAATAAAGCAAGTTAAGGCTTTTTGGAGTGTTGGGCCTTACATTCACATGATCATCAAGGACCCTGTATACAGTTTCCTTGTGATCTTTAATTTTCTAACATATACCACAGGTTATAAAAATATTTTATCTCAAAGTTTTATATACATTTCCCAAATTTATTTTTCAAGACTATGAACCACTTAATTAGAAAACACAACTTTAAACATATTTCCCTCACATGAAAAGTTACATATTCTATACTTATCTTTTGGACTAGTCCTTGTTTTATCATAGTCAGAAGTCCAGCTTGCCCCAATATACTGATATTTTTGCCACATCGTCCAAAAGAAACCAAAATGGTTGAAACAGTTTGGATATCTTTGTTATTAAGCTCCTAAAATGCAAATCATAGATTTAAACGTCTGCAAATACAAAATAAAATGGAACTGGCATTATGCTAGCAATGTTATTAATATAATCCTAACAAATCCTGAGTGTTAGTCATTATCATAACCTCCATATTGCAAAGGGCAGAAGTGTGGCTTTAAAAGGCGACTTCCTTACAGCCCCTCAGCCAGTGAACAACAAACTCAGCACAAAAATGCAGAATTATATAATTCAAGAAACTTTATACTTATGAGATAATGAATCAGTTACCATCCATTCTAAAAAGCTCTATGTATTTAACTAAGGGATACAAGAAACTTTAATCTTAGATTTGTAACAATTATCAAATTCTGGTGGAGACTGTCAATAATCACTTGCATAAAAGTATAAAAATACTTTATATATGACAAATCAAGTCCAAGATTTTAGATGATTTTTGTTTTTACTTGTTTTATTTTTGCAAGCAACAAGCACTGTCCACACAACATGAATAATATGCTAATAGGTATTCAAAAAGTAGATCACATTGTTTAAACCTCAAGTAAGTACCCTATTCTCCTCTGGTTTAAATAAGGTTAATCACAGTAACACTACGTAAACATGATTTTTGTATATACTGCTTACAAAACAACAGTCCAACATGTTATTTGGGACTCATCAAACACACACACACACACACAAAAAGCAGGTGGTGAAACAAGCATTTATTTATACAAGTGAGCCTGCCGAAGTCTTTTTATTCATTTCTTCCAATGGAGAATTTCCTCCCTAAAAAGCAGAGTGCTATCTAACAACTGTAACAATCATTCAATGAAAATGAGTATTTACCCTGCACATAAGGTCATCTAACTTGTGGAAAAACTGTTTGCTGCATTTAATCTTCACATCTTCACAAATATCAATTTGTAGAAGTGTTTTCAAAGGTTTAAAATCATTTTTCCTTAAAGCATCATCAATGCATTTTTCCAACTGCTAAAAAAATACAGAAAATAGCATATATACTGAATCAAAACGAACACTGGTCACCTTATGGAATCAAGTAATTTAAGAATTGCTTTCACATTTGAAAATTCTCAAGAGCTTATAAAACAACTTAACTGTCCACTATTAAATTTGGAGTAACAAAATTAGAGATTAAGTTTCTTTGATAACAATATCTATATAGGAAAAATGTATTTTAATAATTTCCACTTCATATCTCTCATTGGAAAGTCATCATTAAGTTAAAAACAAAAACCTGTTATTGAAAGAAATATAAATCAGCTTTATAGTAACTAATACTTAATACCATGGATAAAACCCTAAAATATCTATCTATTTCTTCATGAGGTTTAAATAGTAAAAAAAAGAAAAATGCAAAAAGAAGGTAAAAGCACTTTTTTAGGAGCTATACCAACCAAAATAACTTAAGCATTACATGCACACATAATTTATTATTATATTCTATATTTATAAGCTTTACAAAGTCTGCCTTTCCTGCTATTAAAGGACACCCCCATTAACAAGGAATATTCATACAATAATATGATTGACCTAAATGTAAGTATCTTACAATTTTAAACCTTGACATTAAAGTATCCAGGCATAAATTATATATAAATCAATGTATAATTCATTTCTATGTAAAAGGTATATCTAAATAATCTTTAATACTTTATATTCTTAAAGCTTTTGGAAACAAATCTACTGAAAAATAAAAGGATAACATTTTTATTTAAATTATTTAACTCTTGACCATTTCACAAAAACAAGTAAGTTTTGTCTTTCCTAAAACTATAGCACTTAATATCTATAAATAAACAAAAAGTGATTTTGGGGATTAAAATACTTCCTCTTGGCCTAGGACTACCTACCTGAAGCTCTGGTCTTATTGGCATTTTGACTTAACTTTAAAACTTGAACAAAACACCTATAAAAGAACACATATACTTTCTGTATCTTGCAATCTATATGTTTACAGTTTAAAAATCTTAAAACACATAAATAAGCACTGCTGCTTACACCAAAGGCAATAAATATTGTCTCTTTAAGTTCCTCACTGTTTATGAAATTACTCATTTGACTCTGTCAAAGAAGTATCTGGAAGAAGCCTCAAGACCATTTATTCCAAGCCTTCTCTTTTGATAGATAACTTAAACAAATGTCAAAGTCCTGCCAAAAGGTCACAAAACTAGTCAGTGAAAGCATATAAACGTGGACCTCCCTCAAAGATTCCAACTTTGGGAACAGGAAGAAAAATAATCTTGAATTAATGTCTAAATGAAATTTAAGCGAGTACTACAGTATTTAAGAAGGGAAATATATGCAAGTATATTGCCAAAGAACAGAATATACAAGAATATACAAAACTCCAATGAAAGAAGGAAAAGATAATCTAAACACATTTTCCCTTCTAAGGAAAATGCAAACAGTAAGCAACACACTTATAGGAAGCAACATGCTTATATTAAGCACCATCTTAACCAAAGCATCTGACATTTCCAAATGCAACTTGGAGGTCTGGAGGTTAGTCCTATAAAGGAAAAGAAATAAAAACAATCTTTTCTAGACATCATGAATAGAACAACTTTAAAATAATCAGTACCATGAAGAGGTTTTTAATAGAATCACAGGAAATCCAACGTAGAGGGCAGTTCATTAATTAAACCAAGAGGAATACAGGACTGTCTATCTTTAAACCACAAGACACTAGTCAGCCTACTTTCTAGCAGACATGCCAGGAAAGAAATTTAAGTGCCAATGAGAACATACATAATAGGCATACAAAAAGGGATGAGCAAAAAAGAAAGAAAAAAATCTCCTGCATTTCCAAAGATTAACTCTAGAGGGGAAAAAAAAAAGTCTGATCCCCAGAGAAACATTTATTCCACATGCATAAGGAGTCAAGTTTAAACACGTTTTTGCCGCATTGTTCTCAGTTCAGTTCAGTCGCTCAGTTGTGTCTGACACTTTGCGACTCCATGGACTGCAGCACGCCAGGCTTCCCTGTCCATCACCAACTCCCGGGGCTTACTCAAACTCATGTTCATTGAGTCGGTGATGACATCCAACCATCTCATCCTCTGTCATCTCCTTCTCCTCCTGCCTTCAATGTTTCCCAGCACCAGGGTCTTTTCCAATGAGTCTGTTCTTCAAATCAGGTGGCCAAAGTATTGGAGTTGAAGCTTCAGCATCAGTCCGTTCAAGGAATATTCAGGACTGATTTCCTAAAGGATTGACTGGTTTAATCTCCTTGCAGTCCAAGGGACTCTCAAGAGTCTTCTTTAACACCACAGTTCAAAAACATCAATTCTCTGGTGCTCAGCTTTCTTTATAGTCCAACTCTCACATCCATACATGACTACTGGAAAAACTATAGCTTTGACTAGACAGATCCTTGTTGGCAAAGTAATGTCTCTACGTTTTAATACGCTGTCTAGGTTTGTCATTGATTTTCTTCCAAGGCGCAAGCATCTTTTAATTTCATGGCTGCAGTGATTTTGGAGCCCCCCAAAAATAAAAGTCTCTCACTCTTTCCATTGTTTCCCCATATATTTGCCATGAAGTGATGGGACTGGATGCCATGATCTTAGTTCTCTGAATATTTAGTTTTAAGCCAACTTTTTCACTCTCCTCTTTCACTTTAATCAAAAGGCTCTTTAGTTCCTCTTCGCTTTCTGCATAAGGGTGGTATCATCTGCCTATCTGAGGTTATTGCTATTTCTCCCGGAAATCTTGATTCCAGCTTATGCTTCATCCATCCCGGCATTTTGCATGATGTACTTTGCATATAAGTTAAATAAGCAGGGTGACAATATACAGTCTTGATGTACTCCTTTCCTGATTTGGAACAAGTCTGTCGATCCAGGTTCTAACTGTTGCCTCTTGACCTGCATACAGACTTCTCAGGAGGCAGGTACAGGTGGCCTGGTATTCCCATCTCTTTAAGAATTTTCCACAGTTTGTTGTGATTCACACAGTCAAAGGCTTTGGCATAGTCGATAAAGCAGAAGTAGATGTTTTCTGGAACTCTCTTACTTTTTCGATGAGTTAGCGGATGTTGGCAATTTGATCTCTGGTTCCTCTGTCTTTTCTAAATCCAGCTTGAACATCTGGAAGTTCACGGTTCATGTACTGTTGAAGCCTGGTGTGGAGAATTTTGAGCATTACTTTCCTAGCATGTGAGATGAGTGCAATTGTGTGATAGTTTGAACATTCTTTGGCATTGTTCTGAGTGGGAAAACTCAAAAGCACCTAGATCGATGCTGGGAATGGGAGAGGGGGCAAGGAATGAATAAATATAATGTGGCATATGATAATCAATTTTGTGAACACAATAAACCTGAATTTTAGATATCTGCAGCCAAATAGTTTTAGTGATTAAAAAACATGCTGCCCAATGATAAATACAGCATAATTCCACTTACATAAAAAAAGAAACTCTATGTTATTTACAATTATCTCTAGGTACAATTTAAGTATACACACAATTGTGTGCATCCACCTGTGTGTATAGAGAGAGAGACATTCACTTATACCATTTGGATAGTTTGACTATTCCTCAGCTTATTGAGGAAAAAGAATAGAGAGTTGCACAAAACTGTGATCAGCTATTTGTCGAAGGGAAACTTCAGTTTTACTTGCAATTTATACTTATTTAACCTTTTAAAAGTAAATTCACACTAAAATGTAGGTAGGTAGGGTCCAAAGCTAGGGATCAGTGAAAGGTAGGTTTGGGTTATTGTGAGCAAAGTGAAAATACCAAGAAAATACCAGTCTTTGCAAATAAGTACCTAGTGTCCAGCTGCTCCAAACAAGTCTATCCAGGGCCTACTGTGGTCTTGCCCCATCTGGTTTTCTCTATTCTAGCTTAAATACTAAATGGGTGATTCTAGGTCTGTGGCTTTCTGGGAATTCCAGAATACCAGCAATGATTCCAAGATCTCTAAATAGTGGGCAGCTGTTTTACCATTTTGCCTGAAAAATACTGGAAATGCAGGGACCCATAGTCTGCTTTCCCACCTCCCAAGTAGGGGTGTCCCTATTTTCTACCTGGCTTCACTCTCTTTCTCATTCTCCCCAGGTCATCACAGAGGATGAAAATTTAGCCTGTAGTAATGCAATTACGGAGGTAATAAATAAGTATTGGAGGTCAGCAACCAACAAGATTAATAAGGAACATAAGAGGAACAGCATAGGCTAGAGAACCCTGAGCATTCACCGCTGCCACTATCACCACAGGCCTGAAAGCGTCAGGAGGGAACATTCCTTGGAATAAAAAGACAAAGTCGAAGGTACCACAGAATATCACAAAGGAAGTATAGAATTAAAGTTGAGATAAGAAGAAGAAATGCATACATTCCAGTATCTATTCTTTAAGAAACTTAGAAAAATTTTAAAACAAAAAAGAACAGTAGGATGGCAACAGTTGAATAATAGCTAAGAACATTCCCAAAACAAACGCAAACATCCACAAATTGAAAAATTCCATGGAATTCAAGATAAATAAGAAAAATTACATCTAGACACATTGTAAGGACATTTCTGAATAAGAAAAAAAGAGAAAATATTAAGTCACCACAGCAAAAACAAAACACAATGCATGCAAAAGAATAAACATAACAGATTATCTGTTTTCACAATTCAATAAATTTAGAAATCAGCTGCAAAGGCAGCTTCAAACTTCCATCTATTCAGAAACTTAAATGCATATATTTGAATAGTCTGTGGGATATTAAAAGACAGAAGTGACAAAATGTTTAAGTGACTAAGAAAACATCAACATACAAAAACCTAAAGGATAAAAAGATTTATAGGATGTAACCAAATCAATACTTAAAGTGCAATTCATAGACTTGGATGAACTAATTAAAAGGTGAAAGAACTAGTCAAAAAGAGAGACCCACAGGACCTCCAGATGGTAGTTATCAGAAAAATACTTCAAAATAACTGAGTACTGTATAAATAATGATTGTAAGACTGAGAATGGTGGCAGAGAACTGGAAAATGGGGTGGGAGATAAGGAAGGTCAAGGAAATTTGAACAAAAGACCAAATAATTCTAGAAACAAAAATAATCAATAACAAGATTATTAAGAAATAAATGGATGGTTTTAATAGCAGATGAGACACAGATGAAGTAAAAATTTGAGAAATGAAGTGGTACCAGAAGAATATATCCAGAATGAAGCAGAGACAAAAATATGGCAGGGGTCGGGGGTAAGTATCAGAAGTCAGATCAAGAACACAGGATAAATTATTAAGCCCCATGTATGTATAACTATAAATCCAGGAAAGGAGATAGTGACTGTGACAGAACCAATACCTAAGATATGATGACTGACACATTCCCCAAACCAACAAAATGCATCGAACAATAGATTCAAAAAACCTTATGGATCCCAGCAAAGGAAAAGTAAAACCAAACCTGGGGTAACACAGAAAACTGCTGAAAATCAAAGTTCAAAATAAAAAAACAAACTGCTTTTAAGCAGCATCAATAAGACCAATAGAAACTATGAAAGCCAAAAGAATTAGAATAATAACTTCTTTAAAGTGCTCTAAGATTGGACTTTAACTACACATTAGATAGATGGATCTAACAGACCTATATGGAATTCCTATAGAACAGCAATAGGACACATATTCACCTCAAGCACACATAGAATACTCTCCAGGACAGATCATATATTAAGCCACAAAGCAAATCTTAATAAATTTAAGAAGACTGAAATCATATCAAGCATCTTTTTGGACCACAAACTGAACAACCTAGAAAAAAATGGAACCAATAAGAAATATATACAACCTGTCAAGGCTGAGTTATGAAAAAACAAAATCTGAACAGACCAATTATTAGTAAAGAAATTGAATTAGTAATTGAAAACCTCCCAATAAGAGAGGTCCAGGGGCTTCCCTGGTGACTCAGTGGTAAAGAATCCATTTGTCAAGGCAGGAGAGCAGGGCTCGATCCCTAGCCTGGGAAGATCCCACATGCCACGGAGCAACAAAGCCCATGTGTCACAACCATCAAGTCTGAACTCTAGAGCCTAGGAACCACAATTATTGAGTCCTCACACTGCAACTACTGAACCTGTGTGCCCTAGAGCCCATGCTCAGCAATACGAGACGTCACGACAATGAGAAGCCTGTGCACCGCAACTAGAGAGTAGCCCCCACTCACTGCAACTAGAGAAAAGCCCTCAGAGTAATGAAGACCCGGCACAGCCAAAAAAAAAAAGAAAAAGAAAAGAAAGGTCCAGGACAAGACGGCTTCACTGGTGAATTCTACCATCAAACTCATCAAACTCTTACAAAAAAACAGAAGAGAAAGGAACACTTCTAAACTTATTTCATTAGCCAGGCTTATTCTGATACCAAAGCCAGACAAGAACACTAAAAGGAAAGAAACTAAAAAGTTCTGAAAGAAAAACAGCAAGCTAGAATTCTATTAACAAAAGTACTATTTAAAAATAAATGGAAGAATCATCCTCTTTGCTATCAAAATAGATTACAAAGTCACAATTACAAAAAAAATACTAAAAATAGGAAATAAACAAATGGATCAATAACCAAGAGAATCCAAATGTATATCCAAGCATATATTTGAACTTCATATATGAGTAAGAAGGTTTTGCTAATAATAAATGTAAATTAGTCAATAAACACCCCCAAATGCCCAAAATGACACTGGGAACTAACTCAAAATATAAAAAATAACATTAGGCCCCTGCTTCCCCCATTCACCATTCACAAAATAAACGATGAATTTACTAAAATGAAAATGTTTTAAAACCATTAGAAGGAAACTCAGGAGGATGTCTGTGACTTTGAATGGTGAAAAAATTTGAAACAAAAAGCACAAAGCATAAAAAGTAATAGATATAAACTTTTTGTATATCACTGTCTCTTTCTCACACCCACAGACATAATTTCATTAAGGACTCTATTTAAGAGAGGATTAAGGATTCTTATTTACTCAGAATCCAGTACTCAGTACTGACCCAGCAAGTCCTATAACCATGAACACATTCACTCTCACAACTCATGGCCTTTAAGCCCCCAAGAAACACTCTCCCTGCCTATATCTTTAAAAGAAGGGGATAGGACTTCCCTGGTGGTTCAGGGCTTATGAATCTGCCTGCCAGTGCAGGGGATATGGGTTCGACCCCTGGTCTGGGTAGAGTCCACATGCTGCAGGACAACTAAGCTTGTGAGCCACAACCACTGAGTCCTCGTGCACCCTCGAGCCAGTGCTCTGCAACAAGAGAAGCCACTGCAGCGAGAAGCCTGAGCACGGCAACTGCAGAAAGTCCACACAAAAAGAGGACCCAGCGCAGACAAAAATAAATAAGCATCATAAAAATAAAAATTAAAGGAAGGGACTGCAGTTAATTACACTAGTCCGTTTATTCTGTATGTTAAAAATCTTACATAACAATAATAAGTTTAAGGGACTTGGGGTGGGGGTGAGGGAGAAGCTGAAACAATGCAGAGAAGATTGTAGGTTGTGCTGATACTGATATTTTAGTCCCTGCTTCAGAAAGGAGATAAAACTTGAGCAGCCTAAGTGCTCAGGTAAGAGAAAAAGACATTAGTTAACTGTCAAATTATTTCTCTGGTAGAACAAAACTAATTGATTCTTGCATAAGGAAAAGTTGCTTCCTTATAGCGCCAAATGTCCATTTTCTTGCTTCTCTTTGTAGTCTAACTTGTGGCTCTGGAAGTACTAGAAACTAAGTGCACAGTGTTCACAACAGTTGCACATGGTGCCAGAGAAACATTTTGTATTTCTAAGCAACCCATTATTGTTTGTTTCTACATAAACCTAGGAAACCACACGAACATGATATGGACTATGCACAGTTAGAGGGCAAACACAAGAATAGTGACTTCTTATAAAAATATTTAATAAGATTTATTAAAAATTTCAGTGTAATTAGAAGAAATTATTTTGATGAATGTTCACTAATAATTTGTATTTACCTTAGTTTTAAGAAAATTTTAATATTGTAGAAAATATTAAAGGAAAAGTACTATTTTTTACACTTACATCATGTTTTTGGTGAAAATATACTCAAATTAGTACATTTTGAACAAAATTACCTGTGTTTTAATCCTTCAATCATACTGTCAATACAACAGTAAAATTCTTGATTTACTGATTTTACTAAAATGAAAGTTTGTGAAATATATACTAATTCATGAATTATACAGGTCATTATACTTCTACAAAAATGCAGTCCATCAAACATCCATAATAAATGCATTCAAGTATCTTTGATATTTTTGCCAACATTCAAGAGCTTCATATACATTTTTCTGTTTTGTTGCAATGAAGGTATCTGTCTGAAACTAAAGGCTAGAACATTTTATTTCACAATTTGAAAATGTAATTAAAAAGTTTAAATACTTAAAATATTTTAGGGGCTCTATTTGTACTTTTCTCCTACTGTCAGCAGTTGTTGGGTCAGACCTGCCTATACTTTACACTTTCCAGCATCACAACCACAACAATGTGAATTCGAATTTACATGTAATTTACAAAGTACTCTAACACAGGAAATATAACACAAAAGACTTACTTATGGCCAAGAGGCATACAAAGCTTTAAAAAGATGGTTTAGTTCCTAGTCTACTTTTGTTCAAGAAACCACTCAAGGGGAAGGAAAATTAATTAGTATCTACACAGGAAGATTTTTCAAGTAAGAAACTGAACTCAACAATCCAGTTAACTACTCCCTCCCTTCCAAGGTTGAATGCAAACTGACTTTAACAGAGCCCCAAATTGAGTACTAGGCATTAAACAAGACAAACATTTGCAGCTGAGAGGAAAGGCTGAGTCTAGAGGGTAAAGCGATACACTTCTTTCTACCATAACGAGTAAACAATTTAAAATATCTTTAAACTGCTTTGAAGTTCTATTCACTAGAACAAGGAGCAATAGAATGGTCTAGGGAGACCTAGCACGGAATAATAATTTTTCGAGTCTGCGTGTGTGTATATATGGGGGCGGGGGAGCGGTCAACTAAGCAGGTTTGGCGTTACAGGCAAGCCTTACAGGATGAATGTGTATATGCAGGCCGATAAAAGGGTTAAGGTTTAAAAAAACACCCAATAACTTGTCAGAGGCACACATTTCCTCCCCAAAGCTGACTCAATGGAACAGTCCGCTCAGCCACCAGAGCAAACTACAACAGTTTCGAACGTGAATCCGGACTCTTCCCCAACACGACTCAAGTGTTAACACAAGTTATTTCACCAACAGCTGCAAAATGGCATCGCCCGTGACCCCCAGACTGTGACACAGGGACCCATCTCATCACCCTTCTGCTGGTAGCGTGGACATCACGACTCCACCCCGGAAAGGGGGGGCCACGGAGAACACACTCGCGAAGAATGGGTGCGGTGCGAGGGGAAGGGAAACAGTTGGCGTGCACTGCTGCCGCGAGGCCAGAGGCGAACCTCTACAAAAACACACACACCTCCATCACACCCCCCCACCCCACCCTACCCTCACCCCACCCCCCGAGCGCAGTTACAAAGCAGTGGGGACGGAAGGACTGGAGGGGGCCAGAGTCTCGGCTTCCGCGCCCGTTCTGAAACTCCGACCCGCGTCTCCACTCTCGTCACCATCAATATTCTGATTCTGGCCAGTGCTCGCGTCCGCGGTCATCCCCGGACCCGCGGGCCCGCGCGGCACCCGGGCCCTGACCCCCATCCCCGTCCAGGACACCAGTGCCCAAGAAAGACCAGCGCGGTCCAGGCCGCCGCCGGCCCCTCACGACCACACGCCCCAAGACTCGTTGGTGCGAGGCCCGCACCGCCCACTCGACGCCCCGCGTAGGCCTCCCCCCCTCCCTCCACTCCCAACCCTGGCTGCGCCACCACGGCCATTTCCTCAACGGCTCCGCCTCAACAGTTAGGAGGCCGCTCGCTAGTTCCACTGCCCCCGGAGGCCCGGCGGACGCCGCAACTCTTCCCTAACGCGCCCCACCGTCAAGGAAGCCCTTCTGGGCACCCAGCTCAACCTGTCGGCTCAAAGAGGCCTCCTCATGGGTCTCCTAGATTCGCTGCAGCCTGGCGTCAAGTCTCCAAGCCTCGGTTATCACCTCTGCGCCTCAGGCGGCCAAGGGAGGGCGGGAAGCGCCTGTCCAATCGGCGTCGCGTGCGGTTCGGCATCACATCCAATCAGCGCCGCCGCCCGACAGGCCCCGCCCCTCGCACCAGCGCAGGCACCTCCCAAGGCCGGAAAGGGAGGGCCGAGGTGGGCGCGGCTCGGGGCTTCAGGTGAGTGGGCGGCCGCGCACAAGCCAGACCCCGACCCCGACCCCTGACCCCGCTCGCCCACGGCCGCGCCGCGAGAGGCGGCGCCAGCATCCTTCCTCTGCCCTCTCTTCCCTCCAGCGGTGTGGACGCGCTGGAGGGGTCGACCGGGCCTGCGCTGCCCGCAGGACGTGAACCTGAAGGGCCAGAAGCGCTGGCGGCCCAAGGAGACCCCGGGCTCCCCACAGCCACCCGAGTAGGCTGGACGGGACCGCAGAGACACGAGGACCCTAGACGAACCTGCCGGGACGCGTGGTCAGAGTTCCCTGAAAGAGGCCCACGTTGCGGGCCAACAGAGGGCAGCAGAACCACTCCTGATCAGCCTCCACTGACCGCCGCCGCGCTCCGCCCCGCCCTCCCGGCCACGCCCAGCGCGCCCCGGCCCCGGCCCCCGCCCTGGCCCTGCGCAGCAGGTGCTGTGAGTGCTGTCACTGGCTTGAATCCCAGACCCCCAGGGGACAGAGCACTGAGGCCGTCTAGGCTTGGCACTGAGCGAATCAAGCGTTTCCCCAGGAATTTTAGAATGTTTCAATTTAAAGTATCAGTTTAAATGATAAAAGCAATAGATGACTGTGTAAATTAGGCAGGGAATTCACAAATTACAGCAGACAGGTCAAAAATTAAAAATAGTGACTCCTCACCTTGCCACTTTTTAGTAGAGGAAAAACGTTTAGAACCCTTCTTATTGTTCAGAAAGTCCAAGGATTATGTCGTGGATTATGTCGTAAACGTCACCACATGGAAGAAAATATCATTGATTTTATTTAATTTCATTTGTTTTTGAATAGGTCTTTAGATTATGTTAGATGGAAAACCTTATCAGTCATAATCCGTTTGGACGTTCAATTAAATTTAACAAACTGTTACTGGGAGCGTCTTCTCACATGGCAGAAAGAAGGTGGGCTTTGCAGTGGGTTTGAATGCTAACCTTGCTACTTGCCAACGGTGGAACTTTAGGTGAATTACTTAAATCTCTCTGAGCTTCATTCTGTTCAGCTGAGAAATGGGGCTATTATCTACTAGGTAGTGCAGAATTAATTTTATTTAATTGAATTATTTGAATTAATGTATTTAATTTTTTTCAGAATTAAATGACATCAAATACTTACAGCACCTAGCATTGTAAGCCAGCAAATAAGAGAGGACATGTTGATTTCCTTTTCCTGTGTTCAAAGCTCTGTAATTGAGTGACAGTCACCATGGGGGTGGGGGGGGGCGGCAGATACACAGTAGTTATTCCTACATGGGCTTCAATAAGCACTAAGATGAAGTACAGTAACTATTCCATCCCCCGTGTTTTCCTAGAGCTTTCTTCCTATGTAATACTGACCTGGCATAAAAGGATGCATCTCAGTGTCTCAAAGACACACACGACTGTGCTGCTGAAGCTCAGGTGCCATCATAAAATGCATTTATTTATATTGGCAAGATACTAAACATGACAGCATTCTAGGAAGGATAAGACATATGTGAAACGTCTTAACACATTTCTAAAGCCTTTTTTTCACACTATTCAGGCCACAAGAAAAACACACTTCAACCAACGACTTGTGCACATATAGTTTAATAGTGAGGCTTAGGTGAAGTCATCTTAAATGGCAGGTATTAAAATATGTTTGAAGAGACAACCCAACAACTGCACAGGTCACAACAAAACTTGAATTTCTAGGCTATGTCACTGTGTTTTCAGGCCTGCAAATCTCCTTAAGCTGTCCCAAAGCTATTTTATTAACTAGGCAGGTATATTTAAGCTTTAAAGTTTTTAAATGTTGATCTTTTTTCAAAGGCACATGGAGGTTTTCTTAATATTGAAGATATAACATTTACTACATATTCCTTGACCAGACCTTTTATGGCAAATGACCTTTACACAGATTATAAGATTCTCCACATGCCTTTACATGGCAATATATTTGCCAGCTCTTGCTCATACGTGAATGCCGTGGATAACTGCTTTGCACACTGGGCTAGGATCCAGGGCATAGTGGCTGAGGCCCTCACGGGCTTACAGACCTAACTGGACAGTTTGTCAAACAGCAGGAAATGCGACCAGGCTTCTCTACCTCTTCCATGTCAATGGAGTTCACAGTGCTAACAGCCAGCGATTGTTCAGTTCAGTCACAATGTTTTAAATCAGAATTTCATATTCTTAGGCCAGAAGGTACCAAAGAAAGCCATCCTTGTTGCTGGAATTTTTAAAACACTGAAGTTGCCATTATAAAAAAAGAAATTGGTTAAAAGGCAAAATTCATCCTTTGCATACTTATTTGACAAACGGTAACAAGCATTCAAATATTTAGAGTTAATTCACTGGTGACAGCTTTCACAAGATTTATCACACTGGCTTCAGCTCTTGAAAACCAGCTTCCCAAGTTGGAGACCACGTCCACCTTAGCTGGGTTTTCACACCTCTGTGCTAGCACCTGCTATCGGACCACCACTCAGCACCAAGAGAAATAGCCCCTCGCTGAGTTTTAAGTTGTTGTGGCACTCTGCAGGAGACAATGGCCTTGACTTCTTGGTTGGAGAGTTAAAAAAAAAAAAACCAACCATTTAACATTTTAAAATTGGGAAACAAGTCCAGACAAGGTTACAAAGTTTATCTAAAGGCACAAAGAATAAAGTTGGCAGGTAGTTGATAAAACCAGGCATATACAAATACAGCTTAAAACAATTAAAATGTATAAATATTTGTGTATTGTTTTTCCTCCAGTCTGGTTGTTGCTGAAAATACCTGCTAGTTCCACTTGGTAATGTGACTTCCAAATGAGGACTGCTGGAACCCTGGACACTTAAGACATCAAGAGAGTCATCATAATCGTCAAAAAGGTAACTGCAAAGGGCATTGTTGCCCAAATTCCACAGAGTTGCCTGAAAACTGAAATAACGTAAGGCAGAATTTCTTTAAATACTTAGGTAGCTCAAACCTAAACAGAATGACTAATAAAGTGCAGATAAACAATTATCAAACGTACAATAAAATACATAAAGTGCAAAGAAACACGCAGAAGGGGCTGTTTTGCTAACTAAAAGTTTTAAGTGTTTTCCTTCTTGGCAGTTGCTGATGGAGGAGACACACAGCCTAATGGAGCAGCCTGAACTCCCAGGAATGATTGTATGATGACTGAAGAGGCATCAATTTCTTGCCTATTAATAGTTTCCCGGCTGTTAGAAGCCTACAGACATTGGCATGCAAATGTGACTTCAGGTTTTCCTTGTCCCAGGGCAGGAATGCCTCAAGGGACTATGATGGGGGGTCACAGCATATACATTCTGTTTACAGTGCGCACAAACACACGAGAATGACTTTTCTTTTTTTTAGCTTATTGAATTCAGAATGCTCCCAAGAAGGCATGGGCTAAGGGTAAAAAGTCTCAACATCGCAGTGATGATAAAGAAGAGCTATATTCACAGAGACGCGATCAGGACACATGCAAAAGCCACAGGCTTTCCCGGCGCAGGGTGCAGGCCTTTTCAAAACCACCTGCCTGGGCCTTCTTCATAGGGCCAACTCACTCGTGCATCTACTCACCCAGCACCCCACCCAGCACATGACACAGCCGGGCCTCTGGCATCGGAGGCCACGGTTTAGACCAAGTGACCCAGCCGTTTCAAGTAAAAGACAGCATAGGCGGGCCACAGCGAGCACACTTTGCAGCTGCGGGAAGCCAGGTCCGATGGCCCCGGCTTGGGGGTGCGGTGTGAGGCAGGGCCACCTCCCAGAAGCTCAGATAAAGTGGATCCAGCTCTCCTCGCACTCCCCGCGCGGCATGTGCAGTGCGTGGTTGCGGCACGTGAAACTGTAGTCGCGGCCGTCGTTGTTGTCCCAGTGCTCGGTTCCGGCCACACGGTAGCGCAGCGCGAAGTGCACGCGGGAGCCGAGCTCCAGCAGGAAGGGCGGCACCGGGAAGCCGAAGGCGAAGACGTCCTCGGAGCCCCCGGAGCCCGCAGGCCCGCGCCACCGTGCCACCACTTCGTGCGCGCTGCGCCAGTCCGAGAAGGTGTAGCGCACCGCCACCTGCTTCTCGAAGGCCACGTTACGCACGCGCACCGTGCCGCTGATGCCCAGGTCCGAGCAGGTGACGCGCTCCAGGCACACGAGCTGGCGGCCCAGGCGCTCGCCGAAGTCCGGAGCCTCGACGGGCGGCGGGAAGTCGGGCACCAGGCACTGCAGAGTGAACTCCAGGTCCTGGCTGCTGCAGCACAGGTCCGAATTGATGGCGAGCCGCGACAGCACGTGCAGCGGCACGGACGGGTCTTCGCCCGCACTGAACACCTTGACCTGTGCCAGCTCCAAGCCCAGCGCGTCGGCGAAGCGCACGCGGTGCTGCCGGCTGCAGCCGGGTCGGCACGCAGAGCCCGGAGCGCCCGCGCCCTTTTGGCGGCGCTCGGGCGAACTGGGCAGCGAGCGCGCCCGCCGCAGGATGATGGGCCGCAGGCGGGGGTCGCAGCCGGACGGTGCGGGCGGCGGCGGCGGCGCGCTGCCCGGGCTCCCCGGGGGCCGGCAGGGCCGCGGCTCCCGGGCCGCGCCGCCGTCCAGGTCCGAGAGGCAGCTGAGACTCCGCGGGGCCGGCTTCCGGAACCCGACGGTGGCGGGGAGGACCGCCGAGCCCGGGCCTCTAGACATGGCCCGGCCGACCGTCGAGCGATGGGGAGGCGGAACCGAAGGGCGGCCTCCCTCCCGATTCTGCGTCCGCTCCTTCGGTGTCCCGGGACGTGCTCGGCGACCCTGGGGAGGGTCCGCTGGAAATGCCGCAGGCAGAGGACGCAGTGGGCCGGCTGCGCGCTCCCCCAGTCCGCCACCTGGTCCCTCGAGTCCTCCCCCGGGTTTTCCGCTTTGGGCAGGAAAAAAAAAAAACAAACCAGCTGGTTTCCAGGACGAACGCTTGCTCGCGCAGACGCTCCTCGGGGCCGCAGCGGAGCGCGGGGTGGCGGCGGCTTGGGCTTCCTCCGGGTGCGAGGAAGGAGGTGTCCGCCCAGCGGCCCCTCCCCGGCCGCGCGTTACTCACCGCCGCGACTTGGAGGAACTTCCCGGCGAGCCTCCGCCCCGCCCCTCGTGACGCGGCAGGCGCGGACTCCCGCCGCCCAGCGCAGCCTAGCGCAGCCGTCTGCCTCCCGCTCGGCCCCGCGTCACGTGTCCTCCGCGGCCGCGAAACAGGTCTGGTCAGTGTCTGTCTGCGTCCGCCTGGCCGGCCGGCCGGCACGCCAATCGGTACCAGATCGGTGTCTGCTCGCGCGGAGGACCCGGAGCGTGCACGCTGCGGTCCCGGGATTTCTGAGCTAATGTGGGCGGGGGAGGGGCGCACCACTCGGCCTGCCCAGGAGCAGGTCCCCAGCTCATTTTAAGCCTCGAGGGTAGCCAGCTCTCTGGACGTTTGCGCTGCAACAAGGACCCTAGGCCAGACCGTGGGAGCCTGGCTGCGTAGACGAGAAGCGTCGTGTCCCCGCGTCACCCACAATGCTTTGCCGCGGGGACCGCTGTCCCTGTCCCTGCGGGGTGGGGAGGGGGCGGCACTGCTGCTACTGGTGTCTCTTACAGAGGCTCCAAACCGGAGAGGAAGATATGAGAACGAGGGTTAAGACCCTGTGACAAATGATAAGGCTGCCTTTAAGCAGCCTCTGGCGTTTGGGACGCATTTTTGTAGGCAGAATCCAGACTTTTAGCTTTGTTCCCGAACCTTCAGGGAAACCAGAGCTTGCTTTCTGCAGCCTTAGGGACCCTGCAGGCTGTCACCTCTTCTCTCTCAGTAACTTTGTCCAGAAAACAGAACAGCCTGGGGTGTAAAGCTTGCCAGGTGAAATGAAGTGGAGAAGATGGGAGTGCACTTTCTAGAGAGTTCTAGAGTGTTCCTGTACCATCCAGAGGGACAAGGCAGCAGGAAAACCAGACTAATGAATTGGTTTGGCGAAGAACGTTTTCTACATCTGAAAAGAATTAAGCAGTTGATTATGGTCTCATTCATTCATTGTAAGGGCCCGCATGTGATTGTCCTTCTCATCATATGTACACAGATCAAAATGGCATACATGGCTTATTTTGAAAAATAACAGTTTTAGGAAGGAAATAAGAATGTATAATCCCAACTCTTCCATTTTTTCAGAGGCAGGGGATTTTATGGAAGAAGGAAGATTCACATTCAAATGGGGCGCTTTTAGTAGGCCACTCAAGAGGGGGGAAGCAGCTTTGGGTGGTACCAATCAACAAAATGTCACAGAGAGAGAACACTGTGTGATATGTATTATACTGATAAATTTTTCATGGACTGATGTGATAGTGAAGGCTGGAGGCCTGAAAGGGGCCCTTTCCAATAGAATTCAAGCTCCATGAGAGCAGGATAGGTATCTAACCCTGCTGTTTTCTAGGCACTCTCTTTGTGGAAGGAAGGAATGGATGAATGGACATGGGAACTTTGGAGTAACAGCCAAACTTAATTAGTCCCACAGATTTCCTCGACAAATTATTTCCAAGGAGATTTTGTGGGTGTGTGCATGCGTGTGTATGGGGAGAGAGATGAAATCCATTTATAGTAGTGTGATCTTGTATCTAATACCCGCTGTGAAAAACAAGCAAAATAGACTAAGCCATAAATAGAAGGCAGTATCCCCCCATTAAAACTTTTTATACAATTTGTGAATATTTAAGAACAAAAAAGTGAAAAGCAACACGATTAAGGATGATAGGGTGTTTGCAATTGGTACTTACCAACACTGTTCCATTGCTTCTAGTTCCGGTGGTAAGGCATCCTTCCCAAATATTAGAGGAGGAAAGAAGTCACTTCCCCTGCTGTCAGCATCTTCCAACAGATTTAGCAAGAATATTTTGAGCACTACAGAAAAGGTGATGTTAACTTAAGTAAAATCTCATTTAGATTTGTTCTAGTTTTTCATGTTTCTTTCTTGTGTGTATTCATATGTTTAGGGTATTTATTAACTATATGTCTTTCTTTCTTTTTTTTTTATGTCTTTCTTTTTAGACAATCCGTCCAACTCTAAATGATGATCAGCCATGTGACTTTTTCAAGAAAGGGAATAGGGTGAATGAATCTTATCAGAAAAGCAGGTAAATAGTTTTTCATGTAATTACTTTATCTTGCAAAAGGCTCAGTATCTCAGTTCTCCAGATTGATATGTGTGGTTGGGAGAAAAATATGTCTGTAGACAGAAGTATATACACTATATTTTTTGTCTGACAAATGGTTTTGAACATCACTAGTTGGTAAAAATTCTAGGAGGTCATAATTCTTGCACTGTTAGCAGAATCCACAATTTTGGGTAATCATCTTTCTATGTTTGTTTTCCTTTTCTTAAAAAGTATACTAGTAATAACTTTTATGGATGCACATAGACAGCTAGAGGTAAAGGAAAGTTTTAACAATGTTGGTTATGAGTTCTAAATCATGGCAATTACTTTATCCATTTCTTCATTTTTTCCAACATTTATTGAGCACATGTTATGCTGCTGGCAATGATTTAACCTCCTCCATGTTTATTAAGAGGTGGCACATTTTCAAGTAATCACTTATTGTGGTGGAGACCTCCAGCGAGTGAACCTCTGAGGTTTCCACAAAGCATGTTTACCATCCTTTTTTTTTTTAACCACACCAGACTGATGTTGCTGAGAAGTGCTATTCATCTTGGTAAAGTGCATTGTTCTTGGTAAATAAGTTGAAAAGAAAATATTTTCACCTCTGATATGAGATGCTGCCTCAGAAATAAATTAGAGGAAGAATCAGTTGCCATGCTAGTAATGTGTACATGTATTCATGAGATCTGCCTCCCCACTGTTTAAAGGGCAGTATTAACAAGGCCCTACTGCAGAGCATGGGGAGCTGTGTTCAAAAATATCCCAAGATAAACCATAGTGGAAAAGAATATTTTAAAAAAACAACGTATATATATATATATATATAAAACTGAATCACCTTGTTGTGCACCAAAAACTAACACATTGAAAATAAACTATACTTCAATTTTTAAAAATGATAAAATTTAAAAAAAGTAGCATTTAAGCCTTTTAAAAAATTCATATTGTGTTATCAGGCATTGTGTGATTTTATTCCTATCCCTCTAAACACTGTTTTCCCTAGTGTGTTTTCTATTTGAAGATACTCTGATGCTTTGATAAGCTTTTGGCTCAAGGTGTAGGTTGTATATGCTACAGTTTTCCTTAGGATATTTGCTGGCTCAGAGTTACCACCAACCAGCGGTTAAGTTCTGTAAAATGTGTATTTTACATCCTGTCTATGTTTAATTTAAAATAGGTATATAAAAGAAAGGTGTGGATTTTATTTGTTTGTGTTATTAAACAGTGCTCATCATTAACAACAGACTGAGCGTTCTACAAGAGATATTTTTCAAAGTACACACAATGGGTTTAAGATGATAATATAAGTACTTTATGAAATGTTAGTGTTTTTCTTAAAAGCTGATATTTGCTGCAAAATGAACCCATGCATTTTGGGTTCTGGTACCTGCTTTATATTATTTCCTAAATAGAGTTATCAAGTGGAAAACTGTCCTGTAACTTGAGAGTTTAGAGGCCTCACATTTTCTAACCCACTGTCATGGCTGAAATGTACAACTAGAGGCTTCTTTTGATTACTTTCTTAATTCATTAGAAGGCCAGTTTGTGTCACATGGACTAAGAATTGCAATTTTATTTCTCGCAGCAATATGAATGCAGGCCCATCTCGGAATAAAGTACAACATCCCAAGAATTCCAGAAAAAGACAGAGTAAACCCCAAGTCCCCCACATTTCTTCCCAGCTGAAAAGCAGTCTCAGAGGATGTGTCCCCCAGCCAGCTGACGATAAGCTGAAGGAAAGCATTTCCCCAGAAGGAAACCTCAAAAAGAGTCCCCTCAGCCCCAGGTATCGGGGGCCCTCAGGGAACAAGCTGTTTCTGGACTTTCAGTCCATGAAAATCATCAAAGGAGATGCCGAAGAGGAGGACAGTGCCAGCGACCTCTCTGATTCAGAAAGGATTGCCATCTCCCCATCCCCCCTCACACCTCCTGATCTTCACCTTCGAGCAGAAGAGATTGACCCGGTTTACTTTGATCTGCACCCGGGTCAGGGCCCCACCCGGCCTGAATACTGTTACCCCGACTTCCTCCCGCCCCCGTGCAACTCCTGGGACCTGCGGGACATGGCCATGCTCCTGCACTCCGAGCGCAGGACAGAGACTGTGCCCAAAGCTGGGGGGCTCCTGGGCAAGTACGTCGACAGGCTCGTCCAGCTCGAGTGGCTGCAGATCCAGACCGTCCAGTGCGAGAAAGGCAAGGTGGCCAAAGGGAGGCCTCCCACTGCCCCTGGGACCTCGGGGGCCCTGAAGAGCCCTGGGAGAAGCAAGCTGATGCCTAGCGCTCTGTCTAGGCCTCAGCAGGAAGGGCCTCCGAAGTCAGGCCCTTCACGAAAGAAAGACACGCTCTGCGAGGAAGTCCATCCATTCTGTTACACTGGTGAGGCTTCCCCCAGGCCCCTTGATGTGCTGAGCAGTAGCCGATTATGTTCTCAGAAGCACACCCTGGAGGTGCAGACAGAGAAGAAGAAAAAGAAATTTAACAACAACTCCAGGCTGCAGCCCTGGGACTTATCTTGCGGGGACGGTGGCCCCAAGATCGAGAGCAATGGGAACCTCCGTGCATCCCAGCCACCAGCCGTGATCCTGGATCCCTCAGACGGCTGCAGGGCTGCCCGAGCACCAGCACACACAGGTCTTAAGAAGAAGGGAAATGTGAGTAACTGTGCTCATGCCACAATATCCAGCGAGAAAAAGCTCAAAGCTAATGGAGGAAAGCAAAACACGTACAAATTCAAGAAATAACTGAGATGATGAGTTGCAAGGACCTGCAGATGACTCAGTATTAAAGCTCTTCCAAAAGTTCCCCTCCAGTGAATTGTAAGAGACTTTGGGTTTACTGAGCTTGAAGGGGTGGACAGTTCTTTAGTCCACCCACCCTCACCTCCACCCCGGCCACACAGGGTTGTTTTCAAAGAAAGAAATCTTTAGGTAATCATACTTTGTGTTGACAGTCTTAGGCAAACTTGAGGTAAACATCAGCCAAAGTCTGTGCCACAGAAAGAAATAAAACCACTGCTCTCTAGCGGGACTTGAGTGAATTCCACTTCTGAAATCTCAGCCAGGCTAGATACAGCACATGTGAGCTAGTGGGTACGGCTTCAAACAGTAGAGAATCCTGAGTGTCTGAGACAGGGCTCTCTGCACCCTGGCCTTAAAGGATTCAAACAGAAGTTCTGGCTGTTTCACCCCAGGGGAAGCTTGGGCCCTTCCTCAACAGCATCTATTTTGGGCAAAGTCATTTATCACTAAGTTTCCTGCTCTTGGGAGACAGTGGAATCTAGGGCTTTCATGCGCTTTCCCTAACATGGGTTTGTTGTTGTTGTTGTTTTTTAAGAAGGCCTTTTAGAGGTGGTGTGAAGTCAATTTTTTGTATCCTGTCAGTATGCAGACTTCATCCCAGTGGAGGTTGGTGGGTCTAAGCATGGTCTAAGCATGCCACCATGTTGGCATGTGGTGGGAGGAAGAATGAAATGTTGACACCTGGAATTCCCGGCGGCTGGTGTCTCTGAAGAGGTGCCACAGATAAACTGCTTTTTAGAATTTGCAAATGCAGGGCCTATAATCAGACAGATATACACGGAACCACTTTGAGTGGAACCCTTATTACATTCCTGATTTGGGACCTGGGCCCTCTTCTGTCATTAAAATGATGATCTGTTTTCATTTGCAAGAGCAGGACTTTATAATCTTGCTGGGGGTGCGGGGAGCATGACTAAAGTTACTGAATGAATGTCTTCACATCCTTACATGGCCCTGTGGCTTCCTGACTCTCCTAAATGCTTCTTATGTTACTGCTGTTAAGTCACAAAGATCCATGGCTGATTCATGTCATGTCAATGTATGACAAAAACCACTACAATATTGTAAAGTAATTAGCCTCCAACTAATAAAAATAAATGAAAAAAATTTTTTAAAAAAAGGCGGCAGGAGGAGAAGGGGACAACAGAGAATGAGATGGTTGGATGGCATCATTGACTTAATGGACATGAGTTTGAGCAAGCTCCGGGAGTTGGTGATGGACAGGGAAGCCTGGCATGCTGCAGTCCATGAGGTTGCAAAGAGTCGGACACGACTGAGCAACTGAACTGAACTGAAGTCACATCTACTTGTTCCTATGGTGGTGTGAAGTGATTGCTTTTGATATTATTGTAAAAATCTTTAAAACCTTTGGTTGAAAATTCTTGATGTACAGTATGTTTTAATGACTATAGCTGATATTATTCCTTCAAACAATTCTTCTATTTTTCTTTACATATATGTCTCTGTTTTTTCATCTTTGGGGCAAATGAAAAACTTGGCACATTTCATTTGAAAATATTTACCAACTGGCAGACTTTTTACCCAGCAATTCAGTGTCATCCAAGTCACTGTTTAAGTTAACATAAAGACAAGATGCATTTATACATAGTTAAAAATAATAGGTCAAAATTGAATATTAAGATGCCATATGAAAATCTGATCTTAATCATATTAAACAACAAAGATGTTTATGGTAGTCCTTTTCTTTTCAGACTTTATTTCCAGATTCCCTCTTATAGTCTTTCTTCCTCACACTGCCCTACTGGAGAAAGCACTGGTTATGGTAAGATCTTAGGCCTTTTTATAAATGAACAAAAGATGTATATCTGCCCAGCATCACTTCCATGGTTCACAATTATACTGTAACATTTGTACTCAGTATGATATTTTTAAAACATATTGTTATTCATAACTGTTCCTTCCTGTGGTTCCTGAGCATTCCCCCACATGTCTTTTGACGGGCCTGCTTCTGTGATCACTGATAGGCAAGTCCTGTCTACACCCCACTCATGATTTCTTTTTCTGCTAGATGTTCATGCAGCTCTGTATGAAGTTGCAGGGCCAATAAATCTCTGTAAGCATGTTATATACACATATATGATCCTGATATTAATCCTGATTAAAAACCCAGGGTTTATGCTGAGCTGCTGCCTCTTGCAGTAATACACCTGTGCAGGAGATCTGGACGGTGACATGGTTTATCTTTCCTGGCCTCCTGTATGTCTGAGCTGATTAAGAAATGTTGAGGTAATACCTCGGATGTTACGTTTGTTCCTTGCTCTTTGACTTGGTTGCTTAATTCGGAAGCATAGTCATAATGTCACATGTTAGGACAGTTTGAAAAGCCTGAAAAAGTGGCTTTGCTTGTTTAGTTTTTTGCCTCTGGTTGGTAATTTTAAGAGACATTATTGTGATTGGATCAGAGCTCCTAATGAATATAGGTTCATTACAGAGCAGAAGCACACTTCTATGATTTCTGATGCGCACATCTTAATGCACTAAATGCTGCAGATAAAAATCTTGCCACTAGAGCAGACCGCATTAGAGTTGAGTCGTGAACTAATTCAGTCCATCAGATCGAAGTCATGGAATCTTGTGACATGAGTCACTGTATTCCTAAGAAGTGCCTGTCATTTCTGTGCAGTTGTTTACATACATGTTGCATTTAAATCAGTTAAAGTAGCCAATAAAATGGTAGCAAAAAAAGAAACAACCCCAAAGTTTAGAAAAAGTGCTAAGAACTGTTTCAGGCTTGGAATCAGGGGGAAAAGTTGTAAAAACTACAGAAGTGAACTACAAAAATATATCAATATTAGCTACAATTGTTTAGGTTGTGACTATTTAATGACTATAAACTGACTAAAAGTTTGTAACTTAACTGGGATAGCATGGGGTTGGCAACCTATGACAAAAAAGATGGGGGGAGAGGGTATCACTGGTTTGTAGTGGTTCTTGGGCCTATTTGGTTAGTTTCCAGAGAGAAGAATTTCTACCATTCATGTTTAAATATCACATATTTTCTCTTTCCTTTGTGCTCATTTACACAAGTAGTAAAACAAAAATATAGACCTCTTGGTGGTACTGTATTTCAAAGTAATAAGCAGAATTTATTATTTATTCATGAACATGTACGGAGCACCATTCAAAATTCAGCATGTTTGTTATTTGCTATGTAATTATTGTATGCTTGGTTTTATATATAATAAAACAATACACAGGTTTTTGTGAATCTGGGCTTTTTCCTTCCTTGAGATCAATTGAATATTGGGAAAACACTATGTGGATTTTTCTGGTATTGTTTTGATTTGCTTTTTATACAGTTCTGTTTCAGAATTTGTCTTCGTTCTCCCTGATTAGCTCAAAAAACTGCTGAGGGGGAAATTCTGTCCCAATTACTTTCATAATTCTGAGCTGCAGACATGACAACAGGACTAGACGCATCTGAGGAAGATTCCTGGCTGCACCTTTGCTGAGTCCCTCTTCCTCTTATCATACACAAGGGTGGTTAGGGACACAGATGGAAATTCAATAAAATGAATACATTAGAAATAAACTGCATTTTAATGTCGAGCCCTGTGTCTTTTGAGGGAGTCCTCAGATTAGGAAATAGAAATTGTGAGCAGCTACTGCTGTAAACATTCTGAAAACCTTTTGTTCCTCTTTCTAAATTCACTCTGACAATGAGGTGTCCTGTTTAGGGTCTGCCAAACAGTGGCAGTTTAAAAAGAATAATTTTGGGGGTGTTAAAAAACAAGTTCACTGAGTAAATTTAAATCTTGTTGACTTTATCCTGTGATTAATGAATTGACAGCATCCAACCTAGCAGACAGAAAGGAGCTGTGAGGGAGGGGCTGTACAAAACGGAAGCTTTACAAACAGAAGGGACTGGACAAGAAAGTGATACCAGCAAAGAGCAGATTGGTTGTGGCAAGGTCACCTTCCTTCAGCGGCCAGGGTGGCAAGGGGCAACCAGGCAGATGACTTACCTGACTAGGCTATTCCTGATTACGGTTCCTTTTCCGGAGAGCCGAAACGGTCAGTCTCAGTTGGGTGAAGTAGAGCTTAGCATAAGCGACTCATCTGGGGCTTGCGGTCTCATTTTTAACAGGGGTTTACAAATAACTGTATGATATTTTGAAAATGAACCATGCTGGAGGTTCCACATCATTAGTTTGTACATAAAATGGTAGATTATTTTTGGATGTGGCAATTTTCTTATCCACAAGGTGGCGACTAATCCTTTTCAGGCAGCATTGAATTGATTCTGTGATGCTTTCTGATCAAATGAAAGATTTTTACTGTGATCCAGAAGACATGGGGAGGGAGGAGGAGTGTTTGATTTCAGAAACAAGAAAATTTTAAGCTTTTTTTCTCTGAAAGATTTGAGAACTCATTTGAGCAAAAATCAATTTGTATTGGGCAGTACCAAAGGTTTAGAGGTTAGGAGCACTTCCCAGACAGGACCTGAAGTCAAGGAGAAGATGCAAAACAAGGGAACCGTTTGATTGGCTGTGGCTTAAGTGGTTGCACCATTTGGGAAACCCTGATTGGCTGTTTGTGTTTGGGTTGTTTTTCTTACTCTTGAGGCATTTACAAGAAATACTCCACTAAGGGTTTGGTTCCATTTGGTAGGCAAGGAAAGGGTAAAAATCACCTCAGTCCAAAAGCCTCCTTGCATCGTTACTTTGATATCATAAAACACTGTTTATAAAACAATGCTCAATGAAGGAACATAAATCATGCGTTTTATAAAAATCTTCATAGAGACTCAAAAGATCCAATTCATACATCTCTGTCCTCAGCAATTTGATGTTTAAGAGATTAACTGAGATAACTCTGGAAAATATACTTGAAATTTTAAAAACGGGATAGTCATATATATCATTGTCCTAGCTTGTTGGATTTTTAGAGAAAATTAATGATGCATATTTAACTTTTGATTCCATTCAGCTAGCACTATTCTATGCCTGTTACTCATATTCTGAGGCTCACTTCAGACCCACTGAATCTGAAGGAGTTCAGAACACACCATTTATGCCAAAATCATTCTGGCATAGGGATGATTTTGAGTTAAAGGCATTTGAAAGACAGCAAATATAAGAAAAACACTCTTATCTTCCTTCTTTTCTTTAAAGGAGGGAGATGAAATTCCTGTAAGACATGTTCCCCATACCAGGAGGAAAGCAACATATTATCACCAGGGATGAGAAGTTGAGGCCAACA